TGAGCAAGATGAGGTGGCTGGTGTTTTCTGTTTGTTTGTCTTAAGCTAATTAATCAGGATGCTGGCAGCTCAGCTGCTGCACTATGAATAAAATCATCAGAAGCCCCTGGGGAAACAATATAATTTCCATTTCCAGAGACATTATATAGAAGAAAAGTTTACCCTTCTGAGCCCATAGGAGCAGCCATTTCTTTTCCATCCAATGCACCTGGAAATGGAAGTGCCATCCTTTTTCCAAAGGCATTTGAAGACTCAATTTGCAGCATGGCGTGGGAGCAGCTGGCTTGCCTTTGAATTATTTCAGTTTTTAGTCGAAGGAAGGCCACCACCTACCAGCCAGCTCATCTCACAGTAAGACCTCCTGCCACGGATTTGCACACCCAGGCACCCTATTTATTTACTTAATTGGAAGTGGGTAGCTGTTACTGATGAGCTGGGGCAGTTAATTGGAAGGGAAATGATTTTGGAGCAGGATCTGGGTAGGGGAATTAATTGGGAGCAAATTAACTGTAGAGGAACTGATGGGCTGGGGTGCAAATTAATTAAAGTTTTTTTTTTTTTAATTATTCGGCGTGATTTGGCTGGGAAATTAATTGTCTTGCCTTCTGAAAAAATTTACCTACTTGAAATGGTTTATAAATTTGCCTCCATGCATTTGAACTAGCTTATGCAAATTGTATGCAAATTTGTACCACCATCCTTTGAAAAGCGGTGCAGATCCTCTTTGTGGGTGGTGTGCAAGTGGACCACCAGCCTTCTGCCCATGCTACCCCCTTCCCCTCAAGCACGACTCTTGAGCCCTTTAGGATTTTATAACACTGCTGGGTAAGTTTCTAGGAGAGTGGGAAAGAAAAGGAAAATGTCTTCTGTGAATTTCTAATAGTGCTATAAGGTGCCAGTTCCCAACTTCCTGAGAAGCACTCCTGTTAGGGGCTGGCGATAGGTTGCAATGCTTTGTTGCAGGTCCCCACTGGTCAAGTAGAATCATCTTCCCTTGGCACCAGATCCAGGTTTTATGACTTCTCCGTATTTAACTCACCCCTTCCATTCCCTGTTCCTTCTGGAGCTCCTGCAACACCAGATCCAATAGGCTGCTGCCACTGCGGTCTCCTCCTTGCCAAAATGTCCTTCCTGCTGTTCTCCTTCAGAATGACCTTCGCTAGAGAGAGAGAAAACTCTACAGTGTACTCCTCCCCTCTCTGCCTTGCCCAAAGGCCAGAAGAAGAATGGCCATTCTAAGGGTACGCTTTCTTTTCTCGGTTGTTGTACTACATAATTTTTCAGGCATGAAATTGGTCTAAGCGAATTACAGTCCATTACCATCTCTGCATTACAGTTTTCCAGGGATCCTTTCAATTAATATTCCAGGGCACTTCACAAACACAAAAGAGGGGCAAATTCCTTCTGATGTTAGCCTTCAACGCAGAAGCAGAGGCCACAGCAAGTGCCACGTTTCAGTCAGAGTGTAGCTTTGGCTTTTTATCTCATGGAACTTTTTATTCCTCTCCTGCATTGCTTGAGGAGGTGCGGGGGGTGGGCAGGTATGCTTTTTGGGGTAGCCCAGGTACAGTTTTAGGCATGCTGCCTTTTGCAAAATAATAGAAATACCAGAATTATTTGCCTCGCTTTCCTATTGCTGCTGGAATTCTTGACTATGGCAGTGATGAACCCCCAGTAACTCAATACTGCCACCTAGCGTGCCTGGGATTTTTCACCCCTGCAGCAAATCCTGAACAGACAACAACCAGTGTTTTGCTTCTGAATATACAGCTTCAGGTTAATTTTCCCCTATCCAAGTCTAAATTTTGGCCCAAATCAACTAGCACATTTCTAATGTAAGCTCCAAATCATCAGGGAGGTGGAACTAACCTCTAAGCATATTTCTAATTAGTCAAACAGATGCCTGATATCAAAGATGAAACATATTATAACTGAGCCAAATAATTACCATATTTTTTGCTCTATAAGACTCACTTTTCCCCTCCTAAAAAGTAAGGGGAAATGTGTGTGCGTCTTATGGAGTGAATGCAGGCTGTGCAGCTATCCCAGAAGCCAGAACAGCAAGAGGGATTGTTGCTTTCACTGCGCAGCGATCCCTCTTGCTGTTCTGGCTTCTGAGATTCAGAATATTTTTTTTCTTGTTTTCCTCCTCCAAAAACTAGGAGCGTCTTATGGTCTGGTGCATCTTATAGAGCGAAAAATACGGTCTTTGTCTTCACAAAGAGAGTGGATTTTACTGGTCACAGATTTCCAATAAAATGTGAGGTTTCATTTTCAATTGCTTGCCTTCCTGGAACCATCTAATCAGGAATTCAAAGACTGGTTCTCCCCCGCAACATCTTCTTCAGATACATACAAATTGGTAACACAAGGGATTGCAACCATGGGCAAAGTGACTGACTCTCTGTGTCTCTTCGGGTCATGGATTTGATTTTCTATTGCTGCAGTTACATTACATGTTTTCTGGGCCTGCAGAGACAACTGATGTGTGCACAATCTGGAGAAAACTCATGATCAATACATCGCTCACACCAAATCCTTTGATTTCCCTCTTTGTTTCTTTTCATTCACTACCCCCTTTCTCTTGAAAGCCTCCCCCCTTTTTTCTGTTGAAAAAGGCAGGATGTTTGAGAAAGCATCCTGTTTACACAGTGAACCCAACAGACCCCATTACTGTCAGCAAAGTAAATCAACAAGCTGAAATCAAAGCCACTCCTTCCGTAAGTGGAGTGGTTTGGGCAAATCTTTGCATTTCTAAAAGGAGCTTACAAGCCAAATTGTAATTCCTGGGGAAAATAGCTCAGCACAGTAGAAGCAGTAGGACTGAAAAGCATCTTGGTACAAGCAAAATGCAATCTAGAAATGGCAGCTGAAACAGCTGAAACAACTGAAACAACGACACAACCTGTTGTCCTCTCTCTCGGTACTGGAGACAACTTTCAAAACAATGCTTACTTTTTAAGTTATTAATGTGCAGTGATGGCACCAGAAAAGAAATGGGGGGGGGGCAGAAGTAGAAAAGTGTATGGGGAGTGATGATCTTAAATAAACATGCCAGATTTTTGAAAGAGAACTAATGCCTTGCCAATCAGGTCGGCGGTTTGAATCCCGGGGTGAGCTCCCGTTGCTTTGTCCCTGCTTCCACCAACCTAGCAGTTCAAAAGCACATCAAAGTGCAAGTAGATAAATAGGTACCGCTCCATCAGGAAGGTAAATGGCGTTTCCGTGCACTGCTCTGGTTCGCCAGAAGCGGCTTAGTCATGCTGGCCACATGACCCGGAAGATGTACGCCGGCTCCCTTGGCCAATAAAGTGAGATGAGCGCCGCAACCCCAGAGTCGTCTGCAACTGGACCTAATGGTCAGGGGTCCCTTTACCTTTACGCTAAGGTTATGTCAACCTTCATTTGTCTTTAAATTTCCAAGTGTCCTTGGGTGTGACTCCGGGGGCAGGCTTTGGTAATATGGTGCCTTGTGTGAGGCCAAAATTTGGCACCCTTCCACCCAATATTTCTTAATTTTCACAATAATTCCTTTTGGTACAGTTGTAGTTGTTTTTTTAAATTTGCACCCCTCCGACTCGGAGCACTGTGTGTGTGTGTGTGTGCACGCGCCACGCACTGCCCTAAATCCAGCACTGGTGGCTTTCATTCTAGATGAATTATCATTATCAAGCATTATCATTAAGAGCCTATCAGTCCCGCCTCTTTATGCACTGGAAGAAATCTATTGTTTTAGTATGCTTTTGAGCCATACTATGGATGACACAGCAGATATTAAACAGGGATACTGCAAAGGGGTCGTTTGAATGAACAGCAAGATAATTGCAGCAACTAGAGGATCTTATCATCCATAATGCCGCACAGTTTTTGTTGGCAGTTTTTAGAAGTTCAGACGTTGCCCGCATTTTAACAGAGAGGGTTTCCTCCCACCACCACCACCTGAGGCCAGGGTCAGAATATCTCATCTGATCCCTTAAATTAATCTTGACTTGGAAATAGCGTTGCACTTTGCAGAGGTGGGGGGTGGGAGACTGCCAAGAGGGAGCCTTTAAAGGGAGCAGCCGTTTGTGTTTCATCATCAAGCACTAAACACTGAATTGCTTTTCAGTCTAGAGCAATTTTCTCTCTCTTCCGTTACTTGGTGATAGGGTGGAAGCATCTTATAAAATATAAATGAAAGGCTAGAAGTTCAAGGTTGTAAACTCTGTAGTAAACGAATCCAAACCGTCTTACCAGACTGAGAAGCGTTTAGAGGAGCAGCCTCCCCAGTATGTTCAGATAATATGTTTATTTAGCAGTCCAATTAGATGCAAAAAAAAAGAAGGGGGAAAAAAGGTCTAGTATCTGCCAGTTGTACTCAGGGTTGTGAATGTATTTGCAGTACTTTCTGTGGACTGAAGTCATTTATCAGGAGCTGTGGTTTAGGTTCATTCTCCTGTAAGTCTGCAAAATCAAGGTTTGTGAAAAGAAGGGCAGGCTGCTTAAGAAATATTGCTGGCTCGTTTTATGCCCCTTGACTTCCTGCTTGAAACAGAAACCAGAATCTACTTTCGCAGATATCTTACATTTAGATTCCATCTTTCTTCCACCATCGAACCCAAGTCTGTGTTTATGTAGTCTAAAAAGCACACTGGTGTTATTCCTCATTTCAATCTGAGTAAAGAGAAAAAACAGATCGGAAAAACAGATCCTTTCATCATGTTCATCTCCATCTTGCCTGCCTCCTCCAACACCTGCAGCCCAGAAAACATTCAATCTCCTGACTATCCAAATTTTACTTTATTTTCCTCCAGAAGGAATTTGGTTCCAACTTCCCAGTTTTAAAGATAAAGCAGTTTTCTCCGATGAATCAGCTGGCTCAAATGTTTGCTACATTTTTGGGTGGCACGGCAGGAAAATATCTAGCACACCCCCTGTCTATTTAATAGAATCATAGACTTGTAGAGTTGGAAGGGACCATGAGGGTCATCTAGTCTAACCCCTGCAATGCAGGACTCTTTTGCCCAGTGTGGGACTTGAACTCACAACCCCGAGATTAAGAGTCCCAGGCTCTACCAAATGAACCAGGAAATACTAAACTCCTGCCAGCTTCCACTTGAGGATTCCCCCTGCATAATTCACAGTTCCGACTCAGCCCTGCAATCTGTTTTCAAAGCTCATGATTTCTCTCGGTGCATTGGCATTATCTTGCAGTGCTGTTGAAAGCTGCTGGGCAGCTCACTTTGGGAACAGTTATGAACCTTTCTGGAATGAGTTCCCTTTCAGAAGCCAGGTCTCAAACTTCTAGGATAGACAAGTCTTGTGGAACATCGGGCAGGTGTAGGGAGCAAAGGACAAAGGCAATTCTCTTTTACTGCCTGTAGTCTGTGCCTTGAGGAATCATGATGGTGTTATTTCCCCCACTCCAACATCCAACTAGCTTCCCCTTCTATCAGATTCAGTTCACAGCTGTCCTGCTTCCCTTTAGCAGCAAATGTGGTACAGCAGAGGGGGAGAATCGGATGGGGACATCTCATGGCCATAGAAAGAATTACAAGCAGGGAGCTGCTTTGATGATAGCGGTTTATCACTGCCAAATAATAATAAATAATAATAAATTTTATTTATATCCCGCCTTGCCCAGCCGAAGCCGGGCTCAGGGCAGCTAACAACAATAAAATAATACAACATTCTAAAATCATTTCATTAAAATTAATTCAACTCAAATTGATGGCAACCATTAGGCTAAAGTTCTGTGAAGATTGCCAAAGGAGGGAGTCAGGCTGTGCCCTGACCAAAGGCCTGGTGGAACAGCTCTGTCTTGCAAGCCCTGTGGAAAGATGTCCCGCAGGGCCCTAGTCTCTTGTGACAGAGCATTCCACCAGATTGGAGCCACAGCCGAAAAAGCCCTGGCTCTAGTTGAGGCCAGCCTAACCTCTCTGTGGCCTGGGACCTTCAGGATGCTTTTGTTTGAAGACCATAAGTTCCTCTGTGGGACATACCAGGAGAGGTGGTCCCATAGGTATGAGGGTCCTAGGCTGTATAGGGCTTTAAAGGCTAAAACCAGCACCTTAAACCTGATCCTGTACCCCACCGGGAGCCAGTGCAGCTGGTATAGCACCAGGTGAATGTGATCTCGCAGCGAGGACCCCGTAAGGAGTCTCACTGCGGCATTCTGCACCCACTGGAGTTTCTGGGTCAGTCTCAAGGGCAGCCCCACGTAGAGCGAGTTACAATAATCCAGTCTGGAGGTGACCATCGTGTGGATCACAGTGGCTAGGTCAGGGCGAGAGAGGTAAGGAGCCAACTGCTTAGCTTGGTGGAGATGAAAAAATGCCGCCTTTGTTATAGCTGCAATCTGCACCTCCATGGAAAGGGAGGTGTTGAAGATTACACCCAAACTCTTAACGGACGGTGCTGGCACTAACTGCACCCCCGCAAGAGATGGGAGTTTCCCCCCAATCCCATATCGTCCCTTCCCAGCCAAAGGACCTCTGTCTTCGAAAGGTTTAACAAATGATCACAGAATCATAGAAATGGGAAGTTAAAAAGGACCCCAAAGGTCACCTGGTCCAGGAATCACAGCTGAAGAAGTCATCACAGTCTTCTTTTCTCTAGTAGAGATATACAGTACTTGTCTGCATCAGAGCAGAGGGTCATTTGACTGGGCATATGTGCCAAATGAGTTACACACTGCGTGGCTCTTTTGATTGGGTGAGTTATTTGATCTGCGCGCATCTTTCTGGGGGGTACCAGTGTGCCACACATTGGTCTCAACTATGTACACTGAACTGGCTTGGTTGCCTTTGATTCCCTTCCAGCTCTTTGATGCAATTATTCAACCCATGTAAAAATCATTGGGATTGTGCCACAAGTCACTCTACAGGTGCGCCTTCCTTGTGTTTGGGCTGGTGCAGCGTTTCCTGTTGCCCTGGAGGAAGAGATGAGCACAGATGTCGCCCTTGGAAGCATCAACCGCCCCCGCCCCGGTCCTCCTTGTGTGGAAGCAGCCTTATGGTGGCAACTCGGCCGCTCTGCCCCAAGGGTGCTTTTAATCAACAGACTCCGGGGGGTGGGGGTGGGAATCATTTGCTTAATCCTCTTCCTGACTCTCAAGTCCAGGCTGTCAGGATTAAGAGCAAATTCACTTTCTTGCAAGGGACAGACTCAAAACACAGCGCCTAAAGCAATGTTTCCCATCAGTAATGTCTGTGGAACAGCAAACAATGAATGCATCGCCCTGTCCAACCGCACACTCAGGAACAGCAGACTTCACACACATACAAAAAAACCCCAACCCTACCACAAAAACACAACTAGATTGAGATAAAAATTACCCTTTGAGATTGTAGACATTTCTGATTTTAAACTAATAATCTGGCTCTTTTTGGTGTGTCTGCTTCTGATGCAACAAGGCAAAACATAACTAGACACCCTTTGTAAAATGTGTTTGGGTTCTAGATTTCCTGAAAGCTGCCAGTCTCTGGTGTGTGTGTGTGTGTGTGTGTGTGTGTGTGTGTGTGTACTTAACCAGGGAGCAGCATTTTCATTTTCTTTCCTCATACATAGACCTTCTCTGAGGAGCCAATGGCTGACTTGCAGTCTATTTTGTGCTGTTCCCTTCCCCTTTATCATAAAACAGCAGAGCCACTAAATTTGTGGAGACTGTGATTCATTTTAATTGTCACCCAGGAACCAAACAGATTTTTTTTTTTTAACTGCCTGATGCAAAACGTACACAATGTCCTTCCAGCTTTTGGAGAAGCCCAACGCAGCTTAATGCTGCATAACATTTAACCTGCTAGAATGGCCACAGTCCATTTATAATTCACCTGCTCCCCAAATGCATATATTCCAAACTTGAGGAAACCCATTGATTCCATGTTGATTTATGAAGTCCAGTCAGTCCCATAAGCAAATTGGATCACCTTGCCCGATTCTTCATTCCTCTTCTTCCTTTTTCTTCTTTCAAGAATCCAAATATTTACAATAAAAAATTGTGTGGGGATTCTTTTTTTTAATGCTTTGGCTCTTGCATAATCAAAAGGTTTGATGAAGTAATTAGAAGGAAGAGTCCTCTCATGCCTCTGTTGACACAACTGCCTGCTTCAGGGAGGCTGCCCCTCCCAGCAGCTCACACAAACCAGATCTGTCAGTACATGTGCAGAGTAAATTGTCCACACCTGAAGTAGGCCTTAGGCCACACACACGAGATACATGCATGTACATGTACTCACAACCCATGTACATACATGTGCATACACACATTAGTCATGGAACCCTTGTATGCAGGCATGCATTGTGTATATATGCACACAAACATGCATTCACACTCTCTCCAGACCTGTGGGTAAAACAAAGACAGTCTCTGCACCTTTCACAAACACACAGCTCACCTGCATTTCTGTTCATGTCCACTGAACACACTATGAATACACATACACACACTCGCATTCACACTCTCATTAGGACCAGCACACTCCTCTCTCACACACAGCCGCCCACGGTCTTTTCGTGCACACTCACACACGGAGGCACAGCAGTTTGGAAGCACCCCAACTCATTTCAGCTCCATTTCGAAGCCGTCTTTGCCCCCTCGCCTGCTCATGACGCATTTGGCGACCAAAACTATTGTCGTAATGAAGAGGAAGAGCCCGATGATGAGCAAGGTCCACTGGCCTGCTGCGGCGTCACTGCTGCTCAATGACATCCCGAGGAAATTGACTCTGTTATCCCCTTGCATCTGGCCTGGGTGAGAACCAAGAAAAACAGAAAAAGGAAGGAGGCAGCTCAAATGGAATATGGCTTGGATGGCAAAGGACTCAACAGCTCTTTGCCCTCAGCCAGAAGGGGGTAAGTTGCAATGCAGTTAAATTATTTCAAAACCTGTGGTCCAGTCTAGTGATTCTTTGAGTATAGGAACGGCCACCATGGGCCAGTTCCTTGAGTTAATAAAATTAAGAGAGGAAGCCTCCTGCTCCCCTCCCCTCCCCCACCACCATTTCCATGTTATAGGGATTTTGACTCATTTCAGAGCCTTTCAGTACCCGCAGAGGGCATCCAGGTATATTCTGGCCAGCCCAAAGTCTCTCCATTTCGCTTGTTCTCGTTAGCGAGCCACTCTGTCAGCGGTTGAAAGTAGGTCAGCAAGGCCGCAGCTGACATGTTGTGTTGGCCTGTGATAAGTTCCATGGCGTCGGGCCAGGGTTTGCTGTAGCCCAGCTTCATGGCGTTCCTGCGGAAAGCAAAACAGCGACACAAAGGTGTGTGGGGTGGGTGTGCACATTCACACACAGGACATGAAGTGGGTGGATGAAATGCTGCAACAACCTAAGAACTGCCTCCCTGTATTCCACTGCAGTGAGATCAATCCCTCTGAGAATCTAACAAACAGGGGGTAATGTTACCTCGTATTGTTTTGTTCCCAGCATCTGATAGGACAGCCCTGGGCTCCTGTTATGTACTGAGCTGCAACCTGATTGGCCTACAGGTGAATCCCGGAATTAGCCACTCACGTGTGGCCCATTGTGTAAATAATGTATATAAAGCAGATATTCTGGGGGAACTTTCATTCCTCACTACTATGAGCTGAATAAAGAGCATGAAATCCACACTCAACTACCAGTATATTTCAGCTCCTTTAGCAGATGTCAGGGACTGGGGCAAAGGAGGAGGAATGATGGAGACCACCTCCCCATCCTGACCCTTCCGGGGAGGAGAAAGAGGAAGACAGTATAGATTTACAACAAGGGTTTGCGGGAAGTCGCAGCTCAGAAGCAGATGAGGGGTAAAGCTGGGAAATAATGGGAGAGACAGAACAACACCCGTTGTCATTAGAAAGCATTTCAGACCCACCATCTCCCAGAACCCGGCGAGCCTTAAAAGTAGGAGAGCAAAGAGCTCAAAGACAGAGGGCACTTAGCTGCACCCGTAGAGGAGGTGATGGCGACGACAAATGAGGAAGTGGGAGAGATTGGGGGTGGAGATTCACTTGGGACAATGCCATTATCCAAGAGGCTGGGTTCTATAGCCTCTCTCTGTACTGTTTGAAATTTAAAAAGGACTGTAAGAAGCCTTTCCTTGTCTTTATACTTTCCTGGGCAACCAGCCGGGAGCCGCTGACAGCATCGTGACAGCACCCCACCAGAATTCAATTTTGCAGTGCTGCCAAGTTGCGGGGCTTTAGTAGGATTGCAAGACCTAGTGTTGTAACAGGTCCTACTACACCCAAGTCAGGATGGGCTGTGGATATGTCAATTTCAGTTTCGCTCCGTTTCTCATTTTTCAGTTCTCCATATTTCCACATCGGTTTTCTTTCTTTCTTTTTTTAAAGGGGAGTTATGAGTCAAAACAGGAACACCCAAAGGACTGAGAAGGGGACTGATACCTGAAACTTCTAACTGAAGAGTCAGAGCAGAGCTTTCCAGACTTTTCATGTCAGCGGCACACATTTCACACATCATTTCGCGACACAGTAATTCACTTTTTAACTAGCAAACCAGACGTGTTAAACTAGCCCCTTTCCAGCCCCGGGAGCCGCGCAGGTAGCATTTGCGTGACACACCTCCACACTGCAGCAGCTGACACTCTTAACGTGTCGTGACACAGTTTGGAAAGCTCTACGGTAGAGTCTTACAGTGTAGCTCCACCCAGCAGATGCGGCTTGCTACTCACGCTAGGATTGTCCCAGCTTTCTTAGACTGGTAGATGTCACATTTGTGCAGGGGTCCTGTGTGGCCAGCAGCATTGCACAGGGCTTGGTGGAACTGGAACTGGATAATGAAACTGACAAAGTATCTGGAAGAGAGATGGAACAGGTGAATGGGAGGTCCAAGGTCACACTGTGCTCCTGGCACCTCCTCCTCAAGGGCCAAAGCTGAAGACAGGACTCTCTTTCTTCTTTTTTCCCCTTCCACCCTCCCCTTTAACCCCTCCCCCCCCAATTGTTCTCTTTTCAAATCTTTAACCATGTGCACAGATTATTCATTCTAATTTGGATGCTTGGGCTGGCTTTCCCCTGTGCTATCCAATTCCTATAACTTGTCCATTTATTCAAAATCTTTTGACATTTGTTGTTCCATGTATCTTCCGTCATTACATGTTCAAATATATCAGACTGTATATATTCAAAAACATAGTCATTCCATTTTTTCCATTGTCCATTTATCCTTTTCTTTCCATCCTGATACAATAATAAGCATACTGGCTAAGATCATAATTTTATACCAATCTTGCTCTTTTCTTTCTATTTTACTATTCCCCAGTATCCCTGAGATAAGCATTTCTCTATTGACTTCTATCTTAACCTGAAATACATCAGAAATAACCTTTATAATCTTTTGCCAATATTCCTTCACACAAATACACTCCCACCACATATGTGCATATACCCCTAACTCTTGACCGCAGTGCCAGCACTTAGGACTCAATCCTTTAACTATGTATGCCAGTTGCGCCGGGGTTCTATACCATTTCAATAGGAATTTCCTACTTAATTCTTTATATTTATCCATTTTTATTTTATCTGTACTCTTCATCATCTCTTGGACCGTATTCAAATGAAACAGCCCTTAAGACGGGACACTCTGGCCTAACCTTTCCTAATTAACTCAGGCCAGGCAGGGAATCACCTCCTTACCTGACATATGGGACATTTGCAGGAATGTGGAATTTTGCCCCTGGGTCAAAATCTTCTTCTGATCTTGGCACAGGAGGACATAAACCTTGGTACTTCAACCTATGCAGTAGGCATAGAAGGCGGAGAGGGAGAGAGAGAGAAATCACCAGCCAAAAACCAACACTGAGTGCTGATCTCACAGGGTATCCAACCTAGAACAAGGATGGGAGAACCTGAAGTCTAGGGACCAAACACAACCCCTCCAGGCCCTTCTCTATAGCTTCTTGGGCTCTTTCTGGGCCACACCTCTCTTGAGTGCTTTTGCATTGCTGGAATATTCCCTTGAATCGTGCTTAATTGCTTGCCTGTTTGTGTCTGTGTAGGAACCTCTGGCTTTTGCGTGCCCATAAAGTAGTCTACTGTACAAAGGTAAAAGTCAAATTCATTGCTCCACCCACATTTACCTCTGGCCCTGCTCACCCCTGGCCTGTGACCCACAAGGTAAAAAAGGTTCCTCTACCCTTGCTCCAGAGGAGCAGATGTCTTGCTTTGGAGCAGGACAGGGCCGTTGTGTAGCTGGAGGGGCTTGCTTTTCTTCAGATCCCCCTGGGAATCGTCAACAACCTATTTCCACAATTACTGGTATGCTTTTATTTGGCCCAGAAAGAGCCCTACTTTCAATACTTTCTTCATCCCATAGAGCAGGCATGTGACACCTCTGGGGTGACTGGATTACAACTTCCATCTCCTCCAACATTGGCTGGAGCAGAAGGGAAATGGAATCCAACATCTGAACGCCCACAGATTCTCCATTCCTACCCTAGATTTTCTATGGCCAAAATATACACACCATGAGCATGTCTGGAAGGGGAATACCTTCCAAAGTAGCACCCTGGGCAACCCACAGTAAGGTAGGCTCCATTTTGACCTTGAACACCACCTGGGAAAAGTCAGCAATGTTCTACCCACATTTTCAGAAACCAGGCCATGTTTGCTCTTCACCCTCCACTCAGTTCTGAGTCAAGCTTGCTCCCAGCATAAACATATGGGCAGAACTCAGCCATGATGAAGCGCAACCAAATTGTCAGATAGTTTCCTTCTCCAGGCAGCTACCCAATACCCACCTAAGGTTCCACCATTGTTGATTGTACTCCTCATATGGAATGCGCCCATCAAACACTTTCCATCTCCACTGGTCCATCAAGTAGCCAAAGGGTAGGAAGGCTATCTTATCTAGTGCAATGCTCATCAGGTAGTTGATGTTACTCTCTGGCCAGGAGAAAGAAACAAGAAGAGTCTTAGACCTCAGTTCTTAACCTTCTGTCCCATCTCTCCTGGTGGTCTTACTACATTCCATGTATCCACACCCTTTACCTCCCAACACCTTATTTACCAAATTCCTAAATCCCACAAGCTCCCACAACCAATCTTATGCCTACACCACATGCTTAAACAAGGGCTAGTCAGTCAACATTTATGATGTCTAATTCAGTTTAAGGTAAAGGTAAAGGGACCCCTGACCATTAGGTCCAGTCGTGGCTGACTCTGGGGTTGGAGCGCTCATCTCGCTTTATTGGCTGAGGGAGCCAGTGTACAGCTTCCAGGTCATGTGGCCAGCATGACTAAGCCGCTTCTGGCGAACCAGAGCAGCGCACGGAAACGCTGTTTACCTTCCCGCCGGAGCGGTACCTATTTATCTACTTGCACTTTGACGTGCTTTCGAACTGCTAGGTTGGCAGGAGCAGGGACTGAGCAACGGGAGCTCACCCCGTCGCGGGGATTTGAACCACCGACCTTCTGATCAGCAAGCCCTAGGCTCTGTGGTTTAACCCACAGCGCCACCCGCGTCCCTCTATAATTCAGTTTATTCCGAGCCAATTTGAAAAGCCAATCTGGGTTGAAAGGCAACACAACAATGGTTAAGATCTGCTTTTGAGTCTGTGGGATCCGGGGCAAAGTGTGTTGAGACTTGGTTCTGGGAAGCATATGCCCATTTCAACCACCGCTTTGGCAAATTATAAGATATCATGAACACTGGTGTTTTACATTGCTCAAAAATTCTAAAGAATTGCTGCTGAGAGCACTTTGCAACTAAGTGTCCCCATGTGGTCCGTTCCTGCTTACCTGGGTTGTCTTCCACCTGACTTAGCAGCTTGATGCTGTACAGGTGCTTTGGGGTAGATACCGACAAGGCCATAACATCTCCGATGGCTTCATGAAATCCTGGGTTGGCCCCATCACGTAACGAGATGGGTTGGTCCTTGTACTGCAGGAAGTACTGAACATGGCCCATCTCGTGATGAACTGTTATTAGGTCATCCATATTCACAGAGGTGCATTGCTTAATCCTGAAGCAAGAGAAAGATGGGGGAAAGGTGTCACGTCCATAATAGAAGGGAAAGTGAAATGGAAGGGGAAATTAGAGCTGGAAAAGAGGAACAGCCAATTTAGTTCACTCACCAGCCAACCAAGAGTCAGGCATGAGAGCAGGCAGATTGCTGAAAGATTTTTTTAAATAGAGCAATGGCTCCAGATGATTTATGCAGCCGGATGATTTATGCAAGTGAACTGAGCCACAAATTGCAATGAAGACGTCTGCCCCCCTCTCTCTCTCTCACCTGACCCAAAGCTGAAAAACCTGTACATGTACACCCTGATTTTGGGGGGAGGCCTATGCAGAGTGGTGCATAGCAAGTTCCACGGTCCATCCATGTGGTGACCTTGAGAAGCGAACAACCAACTTCAGGAAAAGAGAAGGCAGAATCTCTTCAGGGGGGAAAGGAGATTGTTACATGGCACTGGGGGTAAACTCTCTCCCTCTGCCAGAAGAAGAAGAAGAAGAGTTTGGATTTGATATCCCGCTTTATCACTACCCAAAGGAGTCTCAAAGCAGCTAACAATCTCCTTTCCCTTCCTCCCCCACAACAAACACTCTGTGAGCTGAGTGGGGGGCTGATAGACTTCAGAGAAGTGTGACTAGCCCAAGGTCACCCAACAGCTGCATGTGGAAGAGCGGGGATGCAAACCCAGTTCACCAGATTATGAGTCCACCGCTCTTAACCCCTACACCACACTGGCAGCCAAAGCACAGGAGGGTAAGAGGAAAGCTTCCCCTTTATGGATCTACCCAAGGGTCAAGATGGTGGTGAACAGTGGAGGGACAAAGAAGACTCTACTGCCTATAGCCCTTCTCCACCCAATCATCACAGAAGCACCTGAAGTCCTTGCGGTTGAAGAAGTCCCAGGCTGAGGCATGGCACACCACGTCCCTCCCATCTGTTGGCTTCTCCAGCATGGACTTTTCCCAAAACTCAGGTGGCATAGGGATGAGACCCAGGGATTGGAAAAAGCTGTCAGATTGTTCAAACATCTTCTTTGGCGTCCAGCCCTGCAGAAAGGAGAGCGAGTGTAGAAGAGGCAAGCTGAAAAACCAGCAGAGAGATGGACAAAGAACACATAGAATCAGAGAGTTGGAAGGGACCGTGAGGGTCATCCAATCCAACCCCTTGCAATGCAGGGATCTTTTGCTGAATGTGGGACTTGAACGCATGATCCTGAAATTAACAGTCGCATGGAACCTGCAAGGTAATTGTGAAAGGCTCGCCTCTCCTGGCTAGATTCTTCCTGCTTCTGCTCCAGCGTAATGTTACATGCTAGCTGAAAACAGGAAAAAGATCTGCAAAATACAGTGGCACCTCGGGTTACATACGCTTCAGGTTACATACGCTTCAGGTTACAGACTCCGCTAACCCAGAAATAGTATCTCGGGTTAAGAACTTTGCTTCAGGATGAGAACAGAAATTGTGCTCCAGCGGCACGGCAGCAGCAGGAGGCCCCATTAGCTAAAGTGGTGCTTCAGGTTAAGAACAGTTTCAGGTTAAGAACAGACCTCTGGAACAAATTAAGTACTTAACCTGAGGTACCACTGTATTTGGCATGGAAAATCGGGAATGTGATATGTTGACAGATGGGGTATCAGACTGATGGGGTGTAGAGCCGAACCCTAAATCAAGGGCGGAATATAGCCCTCCACACTTCTCCATCAGGCCCTCAATATTCTTGCTAGGCCACACCCTTTCCTCAGCCGCATTCCTAACATGCCCCTGCTTTGTAGCATCCTTGGGTGTTTCTCCCCACTGGCTGGAAGTAAACTCTGATAATGCCTCTTGCTTGCCTGAATGAAGGACAGAGAAGGGTGTGTGTGTGTGTGTGTGTGTGTGTGTGTGTGTGTGTGTAAACAAGCCTGTTGTACAAATTTCTCCACCCACTTTTGCCTCTGGGCCTGCTCACCAATGACATTTGGTCCCCTGAAGGTTGCACAGAAGGGGATGCAGCTATTGAGCTGGAAATGGTTCTCTGTCCTTTCCCTAAACATTCCCATAATCTAAAAACACCCATGTGTCAAATAAAGTACAAAAGCACAAAGGAAGTCATCCTTGGGGCCTGCCCTACCTCTGTAGAATCTCATTTCCATAAAGATTTTGCAAAGTCTAAAAGACCTTCCTCTTGATAGCTGCAGCTGAGCAGATTTGGGATTCCTACAGGTCTGGCTGGGATGTTGCATGCACCAAGACTTCACAATGTTATATGTCAGATACACAACAAAATATAGTCATACCCTGGAAGTCGAAGGGAATCCGTTCTGGAAGTCCGTTCAACTTCCAAAACACTCGGAAACCAAAGTGCAGCTTCTGATTGGCTGCAGGAAGCTCCTGCAGCCAATCGGAAGCCGCAGAAGCCCTATTGGACGTTCAGCTTCCAAAAGAGCATTCGCAAACTGGAACAGCCACTTCTGAGTTTGCGGTGTTTGGGAGCCAAAACGTTTGAGAACTAAGTTGTTCGAAAACCAAGGTACGATTGTACGGAGAGAAGCAGGAAGTAAGGGCAGAAAACTAGTGGTTCGTTTCTGGCCCACCTGGAATCTCCTTTCCTGGCCTGGAACTGTGGATACTAGGCTGGGTAGATACCAAGAAAAGGCATTCTACATGCTCTCCGAAGCACCTTCCTTGAGAGCTAAAAGTTTCAGTACAGTTAAGGGGAACTGGATGCTACTTCAACAACTCAACAACCTTGAGCCCCACCTTAAAAGGCTGCTAAATAATTCCCTTATATTTTTGCCCTGGGGAGCTTCTAAACAGGATGAAGGTTCAGGCTAGTCCCCAAGAGAAACTGTTTCAAATAATAATTGAATAAAACCTAGCTACACCAACCTGGCTTTTCATGGCCGGTGTTGCATCCACTTTGATCGCGTTGGGGTAGGGCATGACCAGTTCAAAGATGTTTGACCACGACTGTGCCCACATGTTTCCTAGGAAACAGAAAATAGAGTTAATGCATAGGTAGGGGGCAAAGGAGCCCCCCACCCAAGGGTAAGACAACAACTAGATCCAACATCCACTTTCTGAGGGAAGAAGGGCTGGGTGCTTCAAGGTGAATTCATATGGATGGAGCCCCCACTAGACAATCAATAACTTTGTTCTCCAATAGCTTCCTTCCCATTTCTAAAGAAGAAGAGTTTGGATTTGATATCCCGCTTTATCACTACCCAAAGGAGTCTCAAAGCGGCCAACATTTTCCTTTCCCTTCCTCCCCCACAACAAACACTCTGTGAGGTGAGTGGGGCTGAGAGACTTCAGAGAAGTGTGACTAGCCCAAGGTCAGCCAGCAGCTGCATGTGGAGGAGCGGGGATGCAAACCCAGTTCACCAGATCACGAGTCTATCGCTCTTAACCACTACACCTCACTGGCTCCCACTATATTAGAGGTACAATGTGTATAATAATGGTCTTTCCACTTGATCAAGAAGTGCATTTTTTGCTTCCCATGTCTTCTCTCAAAGTTGGGCTTCAGTTAGAGGAATATCACATTCTGTGAACTGCTCAAAGTGCTATGTTTTGCACCTGGGAGAAATGTGATAAGGTGACATCCCAGAAAGTGCATCCAGTAATTATTGCCATTGCCATATAGAAAGCACTTCTGGAAATGTTGCAGACATCTCTTGAATATTCATGAAAGTGTTAGCAGGAGCAAGACAACTCACTCTTTCCCCCCAGCAATTGTTTCGTTCATTTTTTAAAATAAAATAAAAATACCAAAACCCTTAGAAGTTGCTTGTTCCCCATTCCTGTTCTCGAGCACACAAACCATCAGGGTTTTTTTTTGGGGGGGGGAGAGGGCAAATGGGGACAGTGGGTCATCACTCTGTCCACGCTAAACAAGACTTTCCCCTCCATCCACAATGCGGATTGGAGATAATACTATGATTACTTAATTAGAGCTTACAGAAGTAAAGGAAAAGTAGTGAAACCAGGTCATATTTTGTCTAGCTGTGTAGAACAGCTCTAACTACATTTCTGCATATCTTCTTCAAGAGTCATTATGCAGCAGCCTTCAAGGCGCCGTTTTATGCTTCCTAAAGAGCTACTAAATGCATCATTGGCTGTCTCGGTGGTGACATCTACAGAGAATTAGAGGCCAGTGAATAGCATTGAAGTGTTAGTTCTGTCTGCTTCTACTGAAAGAATCTGTCTGTTTTATTTACTGATTATTCAAGAACTGCAAAGAGGCTACAGCGCTTAAAAAAGCACATCCAGCAACTCCTGCAACCTGGAGGTGAGTGGAATAGCAGGGACATCAACTGGACCAGGGTAAATACGGAACACAGACAAATGTATATACAGTGGTACCTCGGGTTACATATGCTTCAGGTTACAGACTCCGCTAACCCAGAAATACTACCTCGGGTTAAGAACTTTGCTTCAGGATGAGAACAGAAATTGTGCTTCGGTGGCACGGCAGCAGCAGGAGGCCCCATTAGCTAAAGTGGTGCTTCAGGTTAAGAACAGTTTCAGGTTAAGAACGGACCTCCAGAACAAATTAAGTACTTAACCCGAGGTACCACTGTAAAGGCATTTATTATTTAGCAAGAAATGATTTAGTTTATTATATTGTTTAGTTTATTATTTAGCAAGAAAAATGAACCTTCCCACACACTGCCAGAGCTTAAACGTTCACAATATTAAAGCAGAATAGACATTTGTCACTTCTGAAAGTGGGACCTCTCAGTCAGAAAAGAAGAGAAGACCCTTCATGAGGTTGAGGCATATCTCTTATAGTTTCAAAAACGACATAAGTCTTTATGACATCTGAATTTTAGGCATTATGATTGGACAATTCTTATTTTTGATGTCATATAAAGCTTCCTTTTATGATCTCACCTTTGCCCATGCCTCCTGGAGTCTTGCTAAGGGTCCCAAACTAGTCAGCTTCTCCCTTTTTATGTCTTAGCATGTCTGTTAAAGACCCCAATTTTGGTAACTCAAAGTATTTTTTCCATATCCTGTCTCCATGTCTTGTCTAAGGCCACAGCTTTTAGTCATGTCCCATCCTGAACCCAATTTCTTGATAGCCTTTGCAGTTTTGATACCTGACAGTTTCTCAATTCTTTCTGAACTTCTGTGATGCTATAGATAGCAGCTCTTAACAATTTCAGTAATCCTTCATTGCCACTTTATGTCCTATACACCTAGTTCCAAATTGCTCATCCCAACACCTAGCCTACAGTGTCTGACTTTTGGAAAATGTCACTATTTCTTCCTCTTTCCTCCTAATTCCCCTGAATTTATTTGCAACTCAGCCTTTTCCCCATCCAGATGTGTGGGGTATAAATATTAAACAACAACAACAACAACAACAACAACAAGCATTTTAACACTGTAAGCATTTTAAGGCAACCTTATAATAGTCAGATAAGCTGACTTTTAGGTTGGGTCAATTAATAGCATCATTGATTATATTTTGCCTCTCTTGATAACTTTTCTCCATGTGTAAGGAACATATCTAAGAGCCACTATATGCTATGCTCAACAAATGTGCATTTGGCAAAATATGCTGCAGACCTCCTCCAAAATCCTTAATCCTAAAAACCTAGACACTAGGCAAGGCCTAATACAAGGAAAAGCAACCATGGAGTAGGCCTTCAGAATCACATAGACAATGGGGAGTTGCCCAATATTGTCTTCTGGCTCAGGAGTTTGGTGTGGAAAGGCTTACCTAGCAAATGAGCTGGGATAGGGCCCCTGAGGTTGATGTGACCTTCACCATATTTCTTGTAGAGAGCCCGGCGCACATAAGCATGAAGATTGAGGTACAATGGTTGAAGCTCTTCCCAGATTTTCTCCAGAACATCTTCCAAATCCGGTGTTTCATACAGGGATCTCCAGAAAGCACCATTGTCAGAATGACCTGCACATGAACATGAGAATATAGAAGCCCTTCTTCATCTTCTCCAGTTGTGTCCCCAGGGCTGGTGTTACTGCCTGCGGTGGAGCACCAGGTGACACCCTCCCAAAAAGCCAAGGCAGACCTAGTTATTTGGGCATCTGAGGCAGAACATCTTCAAAGCCCTTCTCCCCTGCCTGGCAGTGAAAATACAACCATAATAAATGAAATCATGAATAGCTTGCTACTCTTTCACCATGAAACCAAAAAATCTGCTTGTCTAAGGCAGCTGTTTCATGCTGCTTGATGGTAGGGTTGGCCAGGTGCCCCAAACCGAAATGTTGCAAGCCCATAGCAAGGAATATCTTTTCTAAGTTCCTCATTTAAAGTATTAAAAGGCTCCAGCTCCCCCTTCCCAAGTCTGACATTCTGCCATGGGAACAGAGTAAGTGAACTTTGCGGACATCTGCATCTATCTGCCTTGCTCTCGCGTGGCTCTGTAGTTTAAAAAACAACAACAACAAAGAAGAAAAACGGTGCATGCCTTTGTTCTGGTGGTTAGACCAGTGGACTTTGCTGGAAAGCTTCAGTTACTGATGGCAAGGTAGGCTTTCCACTGAGGGACACTTTCTGCTATTATTCTTATTACTCGCTTTTTTTTTTTTGCCACAGGCAACTCAGAGCAACTTACAAAGAAAAGACTACAATGCTTCCCAAGTCTGCATTGACTTTTGAGGCTCACCTCAAACAGTTTGGGTTCCGCATTCGTAAGAGTCATCCTCTGCCCTTACAACCCACTGTTCCCTTTGTTGGAGCAGTCAGCATTGCAAAACATGCTTACCGTTCAATATGGCAGCCGTATTGCTCAGCTCTACATATTTCTGGTACATGGTTCGGATTTTCTTCCCTGATACATCCCGCCAGCCTTTCCAGGCATTGAGGAGCTCGTTGTAATCTCTTGAGTGAGCCATGATGTCTGTGAGTTCTAAACAAAGAGCCAAGACAAGCAAGAATTAGGTATGAGACTATGCACCATACGTGCTGTAATGTGTATAATCTCTCCCCTTTGGCCTGCCTTTGCTCCCTCTGCACTGTGCAGCAGGGGTGGACTTTGGTAATACTCTGGTAATATGGCGCTCTGAGCAAGGCCAAAATTCAGCGGCCCTGATGGATTTTCTCAGTTATGGATCTTCTCAGTTTTGCGCCCCCTTGGCTGGCACTGCCCTAAATCCAACACCGTGTGCAGGCTCACCTATTGAGCTTCCATTATGTTCTCTCCAAACAAACACGGTACACTTCTTTAACTGTAGAGTCACATCCCTCTACCTCCCTTCATATCCTTTCTCAAAGCCCACCCGCGCCACAGAGATTTTCCTTCCTACATAATGTGTTTCATAGCCTGTTCTACTCAGTGCTGTTTTCTAGAAAAAGAGGTGTTGGAGTTCACCATGAATGAACGCCTCACTTGTTCCCTTATGATGGCAACGGTGCCCACCTGACAGGTGCCGGAACTGAATTCTGGTGAGTTCCAGCTGGAAAAAAAGCCCTGGTTCTACTCTTCATCAAGCCACGTCCCCCTCTCTTTTATCTCTGTTCAACAAATCGCACCCAGGCTGCTCTCATGAACTTCAATGTGCCTCGTATAGTTTAATGGCAGGAACAAGGCTGTTTCGCCCCACTACTTCTCATCCTTTGCTAAAATCCACAGGACTTGAATGAAGCTCATGGTTGAGATATTCAAGACAGACCACACAGTATATAATAAAACAATGGAATTTGCTTCCACAAAAATGTGGTGATGACCACCAACCTGGTTAGCTTTAAAAGGGGATTAGACAAAACCATGGAGGATAAAACTACCAATGGCTACTTGTCACGATGTCTATCATAGAACTGTACTGTCGAAAGGGACCCTGAGGGTCATCTCGTCCAACCCCTCTGCAATGCAGGAATCTCAACTAAAGCATCAATGACAGGTGGCCATCCAACCTCTGCTGAAAAACATCCAATGAAGGGGAGTCCACCAACTTTCAAGAGAGTCTGCTCCAATGATGTATCAGAGGCAATGTGCCTTGGAATACTATGCTATGTACTGAGCTGAATCCTAGAACAATAGGATCCAGAATGCAGCAGTCTGATTGGTCCGCAGGAGCCACCCAATCCAGCTCCAGGTGGAAATGAACCAGTGACCTGATTAGCCTGCAGGAGCAGCCAATCAGGCTCCTGGATGAAGTGAACCAGCAACCTGACTGGCCTGCAGGAGCAGCCAATCAGGCTTCCGGAGGAGGTGAATCCACAACCTGATTGGCCTACAGGAGCAGCCCGGAATTAGCCAATCATGCAGGGCCCATTGTGTATATATGTATATATAGCTAGACATTTTGGAGAAAGTTTCATTCATTGCTACTATGAGCTGAATAAAGAGCATGAAATTCACACTCGACTCCGAGTATATTTCATACTAGTTATCAAGAAGTGATAACTGTTGTTATCTGTTGTGGTCATGTCTTCCTTGTGGGTTTCTCATAGGTACCTAGTTGGCCACCGTGGGAACAGGATGCTAGGCTAGACGGACCCTTAGTCTGCTCCAGCACGGCTCCTCTTACATCCTTATGACTTCTTAGTAGGGATTGACTTCTACGTCAAAACATTATGGGGCTATCAAAACTACTCAGAAGTTGCAACATACTTCCCCCCAGATATGTGGAGGTTGGTTGTTGATTACACGATGGTGTGGGAAAGCCACTCAGCGCATACTCAAAAGCACCGTCTTCTTATTTTTCCACAAAAACTAAGTCCTGATAGCATTTGCCCAGCTCTACTTCTCAGGCTGACAAAGTTTTCTTGTCTGGTATGTTTTATGGGCGCTGGGAAATGTGTTGGGAGATGATTCCTATCAGCCAGGAGATGTACAAATGGCTTACCAGGATCCAGGGACTTGCAACTTGTGTTTCCAGTGCAGGCTTTGGCTACGCTGTAAATTGTCTCCATGTCTGAGAGGAGCTGATTATACTGAAAGAAAGAAAAAGGATTCATTTGCTTAGGAGGTAAAATATGGGCTCCTCTCCTCGCCATCATTTGCCTGGCAACAAGATCCAAGGACTATTGGCGGAAACTGTATTATTATATGCATTTGAATTGAACAGAAATATTTTATTGTTATGGCTTGATCGTGCATCTGCTTCCTGCTTTCATTCCCCAGACAAATACTTCTGTCAACATGCTGGATGAGCCCTGCTATGCTGAATTTGTGCAAGCAATGAAACACAAGTGTGTTCATATTCTGGTGCCCTGTGCTTGCCTGCCTCTTAGAATGCTCTTTATTTATGTCTCCAGCTTAATTTTCAACACACTCAATTCCAAGGATCTGGGGCCTCATTACAGAACTGTCCCTTGGGGACTTAACTACACATTATTTATTCATTCCAGGTTTTTAAGTTCTGTTTTCAACAAGTCCCCAAACAACCTGCAATTTAAAAAACACCCATAAAACATCCCATACAGACATCATCATTAAGAAAACACACGAACAGCACCCAAGTCAGGATAATAACATCACTCCTTCCACCTTAAACCTCTACCAGATGAAAACCCCCACCAGCTTCCATGAAAGCGAAGAACAGGGCAATTCTGTAGGTCTCCATGGATAGGAAGTTCCATAACTGATTTGCTATGTCCTGGGCCCAATACATTTTGGCACCTGGTGTGAACCACAAGATGGCACCCCTATCTCCCCACCAGGGAAGAAGGGGTGAGTGAAGATCTACATCAAGAACAAGGATGGAATGAAGGTTTTAAAGCAGAGTTGAGCGGTCATCTGTCGAGGATGCTTTAGCTGAGATTCCTACATTGCAGGGGGTTGACCAGATTATCCTTGGGGACCCTTTCAACTCTGCAATTCTACGACTCTATGGTTCGCTCTCACCTCCCTCAGCTGTGCGTCAGGTAGGGCTGCCCGCTCTATGTCACTCAGTTTCTTCAGGATACGTTTTATAGTGGGGTCTTGAAAATCAGTAGGATCAAACATCCGAGCCCGAAGGCCGTACTGCAGGGTGTGGTTTGACATTTCCATGTTCTTTTGCAACTGCAAGGCACGTATGGAAGAGAGAGTGAGGGGCATTAGCCAGCACACTTGTATCACAGAGGGGGAAAGGACGAGCTCATTCTCTAACTCCAGCACTCCCACAACTGTCTAGTCGCCAATAAATAACAACAACAACAACAATTTATTATTTGTACCCCGCCCATCTGGCTGGGCTTCCCAGCCACTCTGGGCAGCTTCCAACAAAGATTAAAAACTTCCCTGAACAGGGCTGCCTTCAGATGTCTTCTAAAGGTCAGGTACAGTGGTACCTCTGGATACGAACAGGATCCGTTCCGGAGCCCCATTCACATCCTGAAGTAAATGGAAGATGCGACTGCGTGTCTGCACGTGCGTTTGTCTCCGCGCATGTGCACGACGTCATTTTAAGCGTCTGCGCATGCGCAAGCGGCGAAACCCAGAAGTAACGCACTCCATTACTTCCGGGTCGCCGTGGAGCACAACCCAAAAATACTTAACTTGAAGCTACTTCAACCCGAGGTATGACTGTATTTGTTTATCTCTTTGACATCTGATGAGAGGGCGTTCCACAAGGTGGGTGCCACTACCAAAAAGGCCCTCTGCCTAATTCCCTGTAGCTTTGCTTCTCGCAGTGAGGGAACCGCCAGAAGGCCCTCGGCGCTGAACCTCAGTGTCCGGGCAGAACAATGGGGGTGAAGATGCTCCTTCAGGTATACTGGGCCAAGGCTGTTTAGGGCTTTAAAGGTCAACACCAACACTTTGAATTGTGCTCGGAAACGTACTGGGAGCCAATGTAGGTCTTTCAGGACCGGTGTTATACGGTCTCAGCGGCTGCCCGCAGTCACCAGTCTAGCTGCCGCATTCTGAATTATTGATGATGATAAAATTTATTTCCCACCCTTCCTCGTGAAGGAACTCAGGGCAGCATTCCCTTGGGCTCAGGGCAAACAACAACACTAACTCCACAATCTAGGGTTTCACAGATCTGTCAGTTTCTGTTTATTTATCTATGTTTGCACATCCGTTTCTGATGCTTTATTTTTTATTAGAAGAGAAGTCCTCATGAAAACTCATCAGCATTTTTGTTCACATTTATCCTGTTATACACAGGATAAATTGTATGCCATTTTCCCTAACACAGACATGTTTTTCAAAGCCACTTCACTAATTTATATGCATCTTCATATGCATATAATGCATATTACTCAGCTGCAGAACTCTGTTGCAAAATTCGGAGATGGCTGCATTTCGAAAGGTGGCTGTGTTCCGGTTCACATATTATTTCAGAAAGCGTGATTTAATAATTATTATTAATAATAACCCCGCCCATCTAGCTGAGTTTCCCCAGCCACTCTGGGCGGCTTCCAATCAAGTGTTAAAAACAATACAGCATTAAATATTAAAAACTTCCCTAAACAGGGTTGCCTTCAGATGTCTTTTAAAGAGAAGATGGCTGCTTATTTCCTTCACATCTGAAGGGAGGGCGGGTGCCACTACCGAGAAGGCCCTCTGTCTGGTTCCCTGTAATCTCACTTCTCGCAATGAGGGAACCGCCAGAAGGCCCTCAGCGCTGGATCTCAGTGTCTGGGCTGAACGATGGGGGTGGAGACGCTCCTTCAGGTATACAGGACATTGGGTAGGTTCCCCTTTAAATGTGAATTGAACTGAGTTCCCCACCACCACCATTGACCCTACCGCACTGTGCTGGTTTTCCTACCATCATCTGTCTGTTGGGCTCCGTGATGTTGGTGTTGTATGTCCAAGAAGCCTCTGTGTAAGAATTCCATACCACTTCAGCTGTGCTGTTGTAGTCTGCCAGGAATGTTTTAGCCTCGTTTTCATCAGTTATTTTATCTGGAAAAGGTTAAAGGGTGGGAAGGGAGAAACAAAAAGCTGGAAAAAGTAGGGAAATTAACTCACCTCCCTGTCTTTCTTCCTTTTAGTCTAGCATGTTAACTCCCAGTACCTAATTTCTAAAGAGACAAGTCCCAGGTTCCTGCAGAAATTTTACATTCTCTGATGGAATCAGAACTCCCTTCCCTACCTATGATGTGCAATTATTGGCTGTGGTTACTCATGGATGAAGACAAGGCATTCTGAACATGCTCAGGGAACCTATCCTTCTTAATATTATAGTTCACACTTCTTGGACAAAACCCTATCACTTAAAACACACTCCAGGGCTGAGACCTGGTAACTCTGAAGACCCACCTGTGGCATTTTCATTCCCTGGCGTCCCCGTCCCCTTAAAGAGAAATGTTAGGAGAAGCCAGCAGGTGAGTGGTAGGTAAGTACTAGCTGAGCATCTGCCTTTGCTCATTGGGAAGTTAAAATGAGCACACAGATGGAGATGCCCACATTCTAGAATCCGCTGCTCGGCCAATTCACCAGGTGGCAACTCATCCCACCTTCCAATTCATCTGTTACATCAGGAGCATGGAACTCCATGTTGGAGAGCCAGTCTCACGATGCTGACAAGGGTTGCACTGTTCATCAGCAGAGAGACATAACAGCTGCCCCCCCCACTGCTTTGATAAGGGCTGCACTCCCCCTTATTAGTATCACCTGGTCTTTACAAAGGGGGTTGATACCCCTTCACAGCAAAAGTCAAGTCAGCAGCTCGCTAGCCAAATCTCACCCTCAAAAGGGCTGCTGCCTGGCTCCTGCCCTACCAAGTGCCAGCCCAGAGGCAAAACAGCAGGTGCTTTAAGGTTCAATACTTGTGGTTTATCAATGCTAGAAGGAAAGCACAGCCTGCTATCTCCCTAAAAGCCATCCTGCAGTGAAGTCAGTTGTTCCCCAGGGCTCTCACAGTCCTCCTCCTCCCATAGACAAACAAGACAAAAACCACTCCATATTCCAGCTGCATCAGCCATTTCTTCCCAGTCGGATGTCCTGTGTTGTCCCCCTGTTTATGTAAGAGGCCGCCACTTCTATTCCTATGTTCCACTGCAAAATATAAAACAAGCCGAGTGCCCCCTTGTGGATTATAAATGCCCTGGTCCAATGGCAAAGCCAAGCAGTGAGGTGGTCATCTGGTATCCTCCCTTTTTCTTTGGACACCTGCTACCGTTATGCCCAAGCACCAGGGTCATAGTGAAACCACCCTCCTGTAGGCCTCCCCCCCCCCATGACTTTGTGCCTTGGAAACTTTACCAAGCCCTTCTGGGTAGCCCTCTGGGACGGGGGGACGCCACTCAAAGTCCGGCCAGCCCAGTGTTTCATTGGTTCGCTTATTCTGTTCTTCTAGCCACTGAGTAACGGGACTGAAATACTCCAGCAGTGCTGATGCATCCATCTTATTTGTGCCAGTGAGTTGCTGGAGAATATTCTGCCACGGCTGGGAAGAGCCAACCCTTAGTGCCTCACTGCAGCGAAGAAAACAAAGAGAGGAATGGGTAGTGATGCAGATGCAGCTACTCGTGTTGATAGCCACTGTGGAAGACCCACAAGACCAGGCGACTCCAGTCTCTACCTGCTGTGGATTCCCACACCACACAAGGGATTTGAGGAGACCTTGCCATTTGGGTTTATTTTCTTGCCACATCTTCTGAAGCAGCCAGCAACTAAGCAGTGGGAATTGAAGCCATTGCCAGCTCCTGTGGGCAGCTAGCTGCCAGTGCCCCAACACCTCCTCTTTTTATTTTATTTTAAAAGTGTGAGGTTTTGTGTTTGTTTTGCCTGGTGCCCTGGATGGCTGGGTCCCGTTAGCATTTAAATTTTCCACTACGCTCCCAGAAGAAGCATGAATCTGGGACATTTTGGGGAAATAAAATGGCAGGTCCTAGCCACCCAGTGGTGCTTGGAGCATCACCACTGCCAGGTAAGCTGGCCAGGGTCTGCTTTGCCCAGCCCCTCCCCACCTGGTGACCAGCCATGAATAGTTGAACTTTTATATCCTGCAGACTTTTGTGACTCCTTGCTCTGCAAGCACTTCAATTCCTGCTGCTCTTTGCTTGCAAGGTGCTTTGCATTACAGTGGTGCCTCGCAAGACGAAATTAATCCGTTCCGCAAGAGTCTTCGTCTAGCGGTTTTTTCGTCTTGCGAAGCAAGCCCATTGACGGATTAGCGCTATTAGCGCTATCAGCTGTTTAGCGGCTATTAAAGGCTTAAAGGCTTAGGGGATTAGCTGCTAAAAGGCTATTAAAGGCTATTAAAGGCTTAGCAGATTAGATAAAGGGGGGGGGAAAGCGAAAAAAAATCTCAAGACTCGCAAGGTATTTTCGTCTTGCGAAGCAAGCCCATAGGGGAATTCGTCCTGCGAAGCAACTTCAAAACGGAAAACCCTTTCGTCTAGCGGTTTTTCCGTCTTGCGAGGCATTCGTCTTGCGGGGCACCACTGTATATGGTCAGTGGGAGTGGTAGGGGTGAGTTCAGCCCTTGGAACTCATGGAATCTGCTTGCCTAAGTGCCTAGGTGGCCACCCCACAAGCATGATAGGTGTCGGAGGTACCCTTCCATTGAAGAGTGTGGGTGATGCCATTCTTAAGGTCTCTCTCCAACACTGCATGCTTGTACGGTCACCTTTCCCAGGGTACTAGAATATCTGGTCCCCGCTAATGGGTAAGTGCCCAGTGGCATTCAAGCTACGCCAAGATTACACCGGGGGATCACTTCTGCAACCTGAGTGTGGTCACACCTGTGTGATCACAGTCCTTAGGTCTGCATGTCACAACCCTCTTGCTTTTTCCAACACAGGTGTACCCCTTGTTGTTACATCAGGGTGCCAGGAAGGAGGAAATGCCCCCAAGCAGAGAATTGTTAGCCTACGTCTTCCCACTTGCTTCTAACGCCGTTTAGGTAGGAGACCACGCCTTGCTGTTTCCCCATCTCTCCCTGCTGTCACCTGAGCTTCTGTCCAGCTTCTTTGGATTGGTAGATGTCACAGGTATGAAGATTGCCAGTGTGGTTGGCAGCTTGGCAGAGCGCCTTGTGGAACTGGAACTGCAGGATGAAACTGACAAAGTACCTGCCCCAGACAAAACAAAAATCCATATACTTCTGGTACCCATCAGTTCTTCAGTAGGACACCCACTCCCACCCCCACCGCCCAATACTACTACTACCACTACTACTAATGTCACAGCAAATTCTGCCATACTGAACAAGAGTCAATTTTTGAAGGCATAACGTTACAAAAAAAATGAAGCACGGAAAGATCTGCCAGTTTGGTTCTTAGTTTTTCATTTTTCCATTTTCTGCAGCAAATTGGTGATTTTTTTAAAAAAAGTTCTCTTGCAGGATTATCAATGTTTTAGGGCAAATTTCTCCTAAATTTGCACATTTCCATGAGCAATTTCCCCTAATATAAGCACTTCTGCAAACACTGTTTGCACCGCAAAATTCAGATAAGTGTAAATTTCAAAGGACAACCTTGCTTAGTTTCTGATATTGTTTCAGAAAGTGTGAATTTGATAGTCACCTTTAAATTTAAACAACTTCATACAATTCCTCGCCTTAAAAGAATACGCTAGTCAAGAACTCTCTGCAAGTTCTGCATTTCTAAAGCAGCTGGGGGAGGAGTAGCCTTTGGACCTACAAATGTTATTGAACTCCAGCTCCCATGATCCCCAGCTGTGGGTCATTCTGTCTTGGGGGAAGCAGAAGTCCAACAGGAACTGGAGGGTCAAAGGCTCCTCGTTCCTATACTAAAGAGTATGGAGTTCAGAATTGATTTTGGGGAACCTAACTCCATGCTGCCTTTCTCTGCCACTAGGGTGTGTCATCTTAGGGGGTGAAACTTAATTTCTGCAAATTTCTTCAGCGTGGGGTCTTGAAAATATGTTTTTGGGTGTGAGGAATTCAAATCTGCTATTTTTTTGTGATTGAGCAACATTTAGCTTGGTAAGTCTAGGTTTGATGGAAAAGCACATAAACTGCTTTTGGAAAACCAAAGAGTTTTAATTTTACCTTCTGAAAATGTCAGATAATGATTAATAATAATAATAATATAACTGCAAGTACTTTTCAAAATTTTAATGCTCTATGCAATTTTACATATGTTTTACTTTCCAGGCAAAACTGAATTATATTATTTTAACCAATATATATATTGAATTCCCATGTCATATTACAACTTTTTAGCACCGCTCATTTTGGGAATTCGAAAGTTGAGAAATTCAACACGTCCTTCTCTACCACCTTAGATCTGCTTGTCAGAACCTTCAGGTAGTTCAACACTGCAGAACATTGCAATGTACTCGACGTTCCATGAATAATGAAGGCATATACACCAGCCTCACTCAAGAACATCAGTGAAGCTCACCATGTTTCATTTACACATCCCACATCCCCCAACTCTTTCAGCTCCCAGTACCTGATATAAGGTGTGTTGCCAGGTATATGATATTTAGCACCAGGGTCGAAGTTGGTTTCATCTCTTGCAATAGGAGGGCAAATTCCCTGGTATTTTGTTCTAGAGAAAAGTCAGCCATGTGGGCAGAGAAGAAACGGAACAGCATTAGCACAAGTCTCTAGAAATGAAGCAGATTCCAGGTTGTTTGTACTTAATCTAGATTTGATGCTGATCATGGATATGCTTTTTATTATTTATATTTATTTATTCGTCACATGTCTATACCACGTTTATCTTCCAAGGAGCTCAAGGTGGTGTACTTGGTTCTCCCCCCCCCCTTTCATCCTCACAACAACCTTGTGAGGTAAGCCAAGAGATGACGACTGGCCCAAGGTCACCCAGTGAGCTTCATGGCTGAGTGGGGATTTGAACCCTGGCCCCCCTGGTCATAGTCCAACACTCTAACCCAGAGCTTTCTGAACTGTGTGTTGTGACATGTTAGTGTGTCGGCTGCAGTGTGTAGCTGTGTCATGTGAATGGTCCCCGTGCTCCTTCTGGGGCAGGAAAGGGTTAGCTTAACCTCCACTTTGCTAGTCAAACTGAATCACTGTATCGCGAAATGATGCTAAACTGAATTACAGTCATACCACATGTTACGTCCACTTCATGTTACGTTCTTTAAGGTTACATCCCGCGGCGACCGGAAGTACCGGAAAGCGTTACTTCCAGGTTTCGCCACTCACACATGCGCAGAAGCGCAAAATGACGTCACACGCATGCACAGAAGCGGCGAATTGCAACCTGCAGGCGCGCCGCTGCGGGTTGCGCTCTTTTCATGTTGCAAACGGGCCTCTGGAACGGATCCCGTTAGCAACCAGAGGTACCACTGTAACTGTGTCGCAAAATGATGTATGTGCAAAAAGTGTGTCACCAATTTGAAAAGTTTGGAAAGCTCTGGTCTAACCATTATGCCACACTGGTTCTCTTGCCTTGCACCCAGTTGCCCCTTCTTTATCTGTCACCGCATCATGGATTACTCTGCCTCCACCCCACATGGTTGGCTGTTTGGGAGTGCCTGATGTGATGACATCATGCCACCCGTTTTCCTTACTAAGCACCGCAGTTTATGTCTAGTTTTGCCCTAAGAAAGTGGCACAAAGAAGGGAGCAAACTGAAACTCATGTCAATCAATGTCGGATCAACATGTATACAGGTGCATGCATTTCTCTCTTCCTCCAGTAATTTATATTTTTCTTAGACGATCTGCCTATCTGCTAGTGAGGGAAGAGCTCCCTCCATCACGGGCTGAGCAAGATCCGGCTGCTCAGCCCCATTTCCTTGCCTCAAAAGATCATCAGCGGACTGCTGCCTAGTAGGCAAAAGCCGAAGGGCAACACCAGGGCAGGGAATGCCACCTGAATAGTCCTGGCAACAGAGAAGTCACCATATTATTTCTGTTCCTGACTTGAATATGACTTTTATAGGGAGCGGGTGGCGCTGTGGTCTAAACCACTGAGTCTCCTGGGCTTGCCGATCAGAAGGTCAGCAGTTCGAGTCTGCACGACGGGGTGAGCTCCCATTGCTCTGTCCCAGCTCCTGCCAACCTAGCAGTTCAAAAGCACGCCAGCGCAAGTAGATAAATAGGTACCACTGCGGTGGGAAGGTACACAGCATTTCCACGCGCTCTGGCACTCATCACAGTGTCCCGTTGTGCTAGAAGCGGTTTATTCATGTTGGCCACATGACCCGGAAAGCTGTCTGCACACAAACGCTGGCTCCCTCGACCTGAAGTGAGATGAGCGCTGCACCCCATAGTCAAGATGACTGGACTCAGCTGTCCAGGGGTCCTTTACCTTTACCTACCTATGTAGGTTTGAGGGTTCTTTGGGAAACTGCTTTGAAAACCTCTCAGGGTTATAAAGTGGAGTATAAGCAAAATAACTGAATAAATTCCTGAATATTTTTCCTTCTTAACTTTGCTTATACTCACACATACTCATAAATTTCTTTCTCTTTCCCTCTCCTCACTCTCTGTCTGTCTGTCTCTCTCTCTCTCACACACAGAGTTGTTGAGAAGATATATGGGTCCCTCAAGCAAACATGGACTTGCCCCTTCCCAATTTTGAAATTCAGTCCTATCACCCGAAATCAGCTTGGGGAACCCCTCCCCTCACACAGTTTCTTGAAACAATGGCATCCCTTGCTCAGCCATCATGGCAGCCCTCCACCCACCACAGTTGCACTGCTGGGGGGGGGGGGGCTTTACCTTAAATACCACCAGTCATAGTTGTAGCGGTTGGGAGGAGTGCGCCCACTGAAGACATTCCATCGCCACTGGTCTATCAAGTAGCCAAAGGGCAGGAAGGCGATCTTCTCCAGGGCCATTTTTAATAGGTAGTTGATGTCACTCTCTGCAAAGAAGAAGGGAAAGGGAAAAGAAGACTCAGAGCTAGAATAAGAGCAGAATAAGCACTCTGCAGATCTTGTGCCACAAGTCAAGAGCAGAGTAAGCAGCTTGAGATGACTTGGGCAAGTGACCTACAAGCCTTGGGGCACAAAGACCCACCTGACTTTATAGGAAATTCCTTTCCAACCCAACGGATGGCAGCAGTCAGACCCTGAGCAGGCACAAAGCTGCCCTCTGGGTTGCCCAAAGGGAACAGGTGTGGATATGAAGGGCTCCCCAATCCCTAAAAGCAATAAAGAGTGGAGAGCAAATTTGGGGTTTTGGCATGGCCAAACTTGGCCCTCCAGATGCTTTGGGACTACAATTTCCATCATCCCTGACCACTGGTCCTGTTAGCTAGAGATGATGGGAGCTGTAGTCTCAAAACATCTGGAGGGCAAGTTTGGCCATGCCTGGTCTAGGATCTTCTCTTTCTTCTTCAGCAGCTGGGAAGCCCTGGAGTGATACAAGTCTGGCTCCACGTCCCAAAAGCAACTAATCTCAGCTGGAAACCTGACCCTTGAGAAATGTCCCATCAACTCTATCAATTACTTATTCACCACAGTTCTCCTACATCACCCACAGTGCTCAATGGTTACCTATATCCTCAGTGGCTTCGTCAAGCAGCCCAATTTTCTTGAGGTGGGTGGGGGTGGAGACGGACAAGCCCATGACATCGCCAATGGCTTCATGAAAGCCAGGGTTGGCCCCACTGCGGAAGGAGATGGGTTGGTCCTTGTACTGCAGGTAGTATTCAATATGCCCCATCTCATGGTGTACTGTGAAGAGCTGCTCCATGGTGACGGTTGTGCACTGCTTTATCCTGCAAAGTATGGAGCAGAAAGGTGAGGATGCAACATTGGTTCTGTTAAAATGCTAATAGGGCACCTGCTTGACAGACTGGAAGGGTTGTTCCTGCTTCCCTTTTATACACGGAGTCCTCAGAAGAGTTGAAAAGGAAGTCCCTCTTCAGTTTCCCTGCACAGGGCACTGAGCCAAAGGGGTTCTAAGCCATCATCATCACCCTATATTCATACAGGTACCTATTTAGAAGATCCATTAAAAATAGCAACTGCACCAAAAGGAAATACAGTCATACCTTGGGTTGAAGTTGCTTCAGGTTGAGTGCTCTCGGGTTGCGCTCCGCAGCGATCCGGAAGTAACGGAACGCGTTACTTCCGGGTTTCACTGCTCGCGCATACGCATATGGTCAAAATGATGTAACACGCATGCACTGAAGCGGCGAATCGCAACCCACGCACGCACAGACGCGGGTTGCGTTTACTTCAGGATGCGAACGGGGCTCCAGAACGGATCCTGTTCGTATCCAGAGGTACCACTCTTTTGTGAAAATAAGAAGTATTTGTCCTCAGCAAATCTTGCCCTCACTCAGGGCACCTTATTACCAAGGTCTGCCCCTGTCCTCTTGTCAATATAGAATTTAAATTGTTTAAAGCTCTCACAGATGTAAACCTTGGAACACCAGTCCTTCTTGGTAGCTTTGCAAGGGATTCAAAGATGACTTAACATATTAAGTGTTCCCACACACTATAGTTCCCAGGGTTTCCAGGGAAGATTTAGCAAACAGAAAAGGTTTTCAGAACTGGTTTATACATTTAGTAGATTTATCGCTGATACACGCTATAAATTTAAAGCACATCCAATGCACATTGAAGGCACACGGCTTCCTCCTAAGACTCCTGTGAACCGCAGTTTGTTAAGGGTACAGTGGTACCTCGGGTTACAGATGCTTCAGGTTACAGACTCCACTAACCCAGAAATAGTGCTTCAGGTTAAGAACTTTGCTTCAGGATGAGAACAGAAATCATGCTCCGGCGGCACAGCAGCAGCAGGAGGCCCCATTAGCTAAAGTGGTGCTTCAGGTTAAGAACAGTTTCAGGTTAAGAACGGACCTCCGGAACGAATTAAGTACTTAACCCGAGGTACCACTGTACTGAGATCTGTAGCTCTGAGAGGAAGAAACTAATACCTATTATCATTATTCATTTCATTTCTAGACCGCCTAAATTGAACCACATGTTGTTACTAAAACTGGACGTTGATATTTTTTCAAAGACCTGTGTTTCTTTAAAAGGATCTGCATAAACGCATTCTGTGGTTCTCTTCCAAGAAGGCATTTGGTTCCCCCTTTCCAAAGCAAGGCCCTTTCACATGCAGTAGGCACCTGAAATCTTTGCGGTTGTAGAAGTCCCAGGCCGACGCATGGCACACCACCTCTCGGCCATCTGTTGGCTTCTCCAGCATAGAATCCTTCCAGAATTCAGGTGGCATCTCAATCATGCCAAGTGAGGTGAAGAATGCATCCGCCTCCCGGAACATGCGTGTTACATTCCAATTCTAGGAAAGGACCCACCCACAGAATGAGATAGCATGCATTTTCTTGGATCCAGACATAGGCATGCTTAATGAAATCAGTTTTTGTTTAGTCGTTTAGTCGTGTCCAACTCTTTGTGACCCCCTGGACCAGAGCACGCCAGGCACTCCTGTCTTCCACTGCCTCCCGCAGTTTGGTCAAACTCATGTTGGTAGCTTCGAGAACACTGTCCAACCATCTCGTCCTCTGTCATCCCCTTCCCCTTGTGCCCTCCATCTTTCCCAACATCAGGGGCTTCAGCTGTCGCTAATTCAAGCCCCATTGATTTCAATGGATCTACTATTCTAAGCATGGTAAGTTGAGATTCAACCCGTAATAGATAACAATACAGGCATTCTCTTGTTGGGAGTACTCATTCTTCCCCTAAAGTGTGCACTTATTCTGCAGCATCTCACTGCAAAATGGCAGCAATACCACCCCACCCCCAGTGATGTTTAGGTATGTACCGTATTTTTTGCTCTATAAGACTCACTTTTTCCCTACTAAAAAGTAAGGGGAAATGTGTGTGCGTCTTATGGAGCGAATGCAAGCTGCGCAGCTATCCCAGAAGCCAGAACAGCAAGAGGGATTGCTGCTTTCACTGCGCAGCAATCCCTCTTGCTGTTCTGGCTTCTGAGATTAAGAATATTTTTTTCTTGTTTTCCTCCTCCAAAAACTACGGGCGTCTTGTGGTCTGGTGCGTCTTATAAAGCGAAAAATACGGTAGCTGTTTTCACTCACAATCCCTGCTGTCTATATGAAGGCTGCAGTCAAAGCAGCAAAAGTGTAAGAAGAAAAGCGTATGTAATAACAACACGGATGACCTTACTTGCTGCCTCATAGTATTGGTGACATCAAGGTTGGGCTTATTTGGGTAAGGGATCATCATATCGTAAATGTTGTTCCATTGCTGCGCCCACATGTTACCTGCAGGGGGCAAAGCAGCACAGCTTAGCTTGAGGCGAACAATTAGTTTCAGCCTTTTCCTACCATAAGGAATAATAGCAAGAAGAAGCAGCTTATGATGCAATATCACCGGGAAGCTATATTTGTCAATTTTCCACATTTGGGGCATGGAGGCAAAAAAATAACAACTATGGTTTTCTTCCCAAGTCTTGTTAGATCCCTTAGGGCCATTGAAGATATCACATTAATTACCGTATTTTTTGCTCTATAAGACTCACTTTTTCCCTCCTAAAAAGTAAGGGGAAATGTGTGTGCGTTTTATGGAGCGAATGCAGGCTGCACAGCTATCACAGAAGCCAGAACAGCAAGAGGGATTGCTGCTTTCACTGCGCAGCGATCCCTCTTGCTGTTCTGGCTTCTGAGATTCAGAATATTTTTTTTCTTGTTTTCCTCCTCCAAAAACTAGGTGCGTCTTATAGAGCGAAAAATACGGTATGTTATTAGTAGCTGGGGGTGGGTAGTCTGAACAGCTTCAGGACTATGGGGCAACCATGATAGTTTCCCTGGTTTGCAGATCATAGAATTGTAGAATTATAAGGGACCCCAAGGATCATGTAGTCCAGGCTTCCTCAAACTCAGCCCTCCAGATGTTTTGAGACTACAATTCCCATAATCCCTGACCACTGGTCCTGCTAGCAAGGGATCATGGGAGTTGTAGGCCAAAAACATCTGGAGGGCCATATTTGAGGAAGCCTGATCTAGTCCAACCCCCTGCAATGCAGAAATATGCAGCAGCCCCTTATGGGGATCAAACCTGCAACCTTGGCACTATCAGCACCATGCTCTAAACAACTAAGAAACCCAGGCTGGCCAAAGTTCCAGAAAGACTGGCAGCACCTACTCCAAGGCTTTTATGAGAGTGAGAGATTATGCTTATTGTGAACATTATTCTCCCACCCTTTGGAAGATGCATTTTGGAAGGACTGCCTCAAACTCATAGGGGTGCCACAGAAATAATGTAGTTAGTCAAGAGAGCAGTGGACTCAAAAAGGTGGAAAACCTCTGGTCTAGGCTCTGGCAACCTCTAGGCTGGATTACTGCAACACATTATAAATGGGGCTGCCTTTGAAGATGGTTCAGAAACTGCAACTGGTGTAGAATTTGCTGTCCAGATTGTTGACCAGGACAGGCGAAACTTACACCAATTCTTCCACAACTGCACTGGCTACGAATTAGTTTCCAGGCTCCATTCAAAGTGCAGGGAAGCTGTGTAAGACCCCAATACATCAAGGACCACATCTCCTCATACAAGTCCAACCCTTTGATCGTCATCTGAGGCCCTTCACTGTGTTCCCCTGTGTACACAGGTCTGGAGGGTGGCAACGTGAGAATAGGCCTTTTCAGTGATGGCTCTCCCCTTGTGGAATGTTCTCCCCATACGGAGGCTCTGCTGACTACTGACCGAGCTATGATCCCGTAATCTTTACCTGGTTTTAGGTGTCATGCATTCCCCCCCCTTTTTACCTGGACTTTTAGCCCTTGATGTGATGTTTTTTAAAGCATTTGTGGCTTCTTGCAGTGGAATAGGATCTTTAAGACCACAGTTTTATTGCTATAGATATTGGTTTTTAAGGTTTCTATTGGTTTTGTTTGTTGCAACTGTTTTTTTTTTCCCTATTTCAATTTTGTTTGTACAGTCATACCTCGGGTTGCAGACGCTTCAGGTTGCGCATTTTCGGATTGCACACTGCGCCAAACCCGGAAGTACCGGAACAGGTTACTTCCGGGTTTCGGCACTCGCGCATGCACAAAAAAACTAAATTGCGCTTTGCGCATGTGCAGAAGCACCGAATCGCACCCCACGCACGCACAGATGCGGTGCTGCGGGTTGCGAAAGTGCCTCCCGCACGGATCACGTTCGCAACCCGAGCGTCCACTGTAAATCGCTTTGGGTCACATTTGTGAGAAAAGCGACTAGATCATCATCATCTCTAGCACTGTTGAGACTCAATAGAAATGGACCCTGTTCACTCTTTGGCATGACAGCTTCAAGCAGACCAAGTGGTCAGCCTGTGTAGAGTGTGGCAGGACACTTCATGCATTCAGAAATGAGCCATCATGATTTTCTCTAGCATGACTTCCACTTCATCCCCTTTTTTATTGCCATCTTACCTAGTAAGTGAGCTGGAATGGGGCCTTTCAGGTTGACGTACGTAGGGCCGTAGCGCTCATACAGTTTCCTCCTGACAAAAGCATGCAGGTTTAGGTAAAGGGGCTCCAGCTGGTGATAGAGTTGCTCCAGGTCATCCTCGAAAGTTGGTGAATCATACCAGGAACGCCAATAGTCACCGGTATCCTTGAAGCCTGGACGCCAACAAGAGCACAGAACCCAAAGGAAGTCACACATGCATAATCTCAACACAAGGTTGGAGAATCATCCCCCCACCACATCATATATCCATGTTGTTCAATGTCTGTCTGTTCTAAAGGCACAGAGCACACAACCACAAACTGAAAGCCAATTCACATGATCATTTTTGGCATGGTTGTTGTTAAGTTGTGAGTGAACATATCAGATGACACAGTGATTCTTCAAACAGCTCTTGTTTATTCACAGGCCAGAACAGAACTGAACTGAAGGGTTCAGCCAGCCTGCTTATATAGAGCTCCACTACAACGCAACAGTAACCATTTTCTGTAACTGTCCAATCACTGAACGTCACTTTCAATCCCTTATTTGCATAACTATCTACAGTATCCCCCTGCTGGCCCAGGGTGAGAACTTCAGTACATAACAGTTGTGTGGCGGGGTAAGTCAAAATTCATTGTTGCAGTGATGACCCTCTCCTAAACACGTTGACACATGCTCACCATTCCCTCAAATATTTTCAAAATGGGATGGAAATCAGTTGAGAATGTGCGTGCTGAGGTAACACACCATAAATCATCAGATCACAGTGGCTTCACTCTGGCATTGCAGACCCATTGTCCAAATGGGTCCTCTCTTAGGAAACATGGGGAATACATTTCTAAAAGGAGGGCAGTAGGGGGAGCGACAATATTCAAGCTTTCTCTGAAGCTTTCAATCACCTTTTTTTGCCTAAGGTAAAATGCCCCAGCTGCTTGCAGCTTTCTTCGTAAGGCGGTCTTTCGACCCCATGAGTGGCCCATTTCCTATTTCCACCCCCCAATCCATATTTAAAGCATCTCACCATCCATTTTGTAGGCCTCGTTGCTCAGTTCAACAAATTCCTGATACTTGGGCCGCTGAGGATTGCCGGCTGCGTTGTGCCACCCTTCCCAGGCATAGAGCAGTTTCCTGTAATTGCGAGAGGTGGCCATGATGTCCGTTATCTCTGAGAAGTGAGTGCAGGAGAAGAGACCAGGAACAAAAAAACAAAAACAAAAAACACAGAAAATGGTCATAGGTTGAAAAGAACCCATTTTGTGGGTGATGTACCTCATCATAAGGGCAGTGCTATTTATTCAGTATTATTGTTCAGGGACAAAGGGGTCACCTCCCCTCCAGTTTGGGGCTATTTTTGATTTGGTGGTAGATTGAGAAGCATCTCAACAGCACTAGTTTCTGTCTTTCAAATTGGGAAACACTAATTCTGGGTTTGCTGGCAGCTGAGCGCTTGTAACTTCTCTCAAAAGTGCCCTAGTTTTTGAAATGCAGTGGTACCTCGGGTTGCATACACTTCAGGTTACATACGCTTCAGGTTACAGACTCCGCTAACCCAGAAATATTACCTTGGGTTAAGAACTTTGCTTCAGGATGAGAACAAAAATCGTGCTCCGGCGGCGTGGCGGCAGCAGGAGGCCCCATTAGCTAAAGTGGTGCTTCAGGTTAAGAACAGACCTCCGGAACGAATTAAGTACTTAACTCAAGGTACCACTGTATGTAAATCTTTGGACACAGCTGCTACACATAATTTCTATTCTAGCCCTTATCAATGTACAGTGATACATTTGGTGGCCAAATAAATGGCTGAAACACTTTAAAGGAAGACATCATTTTTAAGAGCTCCAAATCAATCAGACTCCTCAAGAGTTGCGTCAAGAGTTGTGGGGGCAAGATGGTCTCACACTTGAAAAATAAGCATACTGTTGAACAGGAGTTGAGAACTTACGGGTCTCTGAGTGTTTCTGGACTACAGCTCACACTATCCCTCACCATTGGCTGTGTTAGCTTCCTAGAGTGGCTAGGAGTTGGAATAATACAACAACAACAACAACAACAACAACAACAGCTGGATAGCCACATGTTCCACAAGTGCTGTAGAATATGAACCAAGACAATCTGTGGCACGATAAGCACCACGTAAATATTTGTAAACATCAAAGCAAGCATGTGACATTTTATGCCACTACATTGTCACAGTTATCTGTGACCATGGGATTTGTGGTATTTCTGACACAACCCTCAGATCTCAACAAATCACCTCCCCCTTGAGGTGTTCCAGTGTTGAAAGAACAGGAAGATACACACCTGGTTCTAGAGCCCAACAGCTGGAATTCTGATTTGGCAGACATACTTTGGAAGTGGAGTAGATATTGTCCATCTCACTCAGAATAGTGTTATACTTAGAAAGGAAAGATAAATAGTCCAAGTTAGTGTGATAGTCCCATACCTGCTAGTTCTACGAAGTCACTCCTTTTCGGCCCAGCCACATTGTTACCTGTTCCACACCTCAGGTCTGCTTTGTACCCTATAATCTATCACAGTTTCAACAGAGAATGGCTGCCGGGTGGCAACAGCAAGGACACCCAGGGAGGCTGCCTCAAACACAGGCTTCCTGAGTATTTATTTTATGATGAACTTGAAACTTAGGTGTCTGTAGCCAGCCAAGTCAGGAACGGGACCAAAAACATCTTCGTTTTCCCTGTAATCTTGCATTATTGAAAGTACAAAACTATTGGGCGAGTCCCTTTTGTTTCAGCATAAAAGCCTTCTCACATGACTTTGATGTGACAATGCTGCCTGCACCATCAAGACCCTGATCAGACCACTCTACACACCATTGAGTGGAAGTCAGGACTCTGGTGTTCTCACCACCATAACCTGGCCAAGGCATGCACGGTCAAAGGAACAAGAGGAGGCAGGCCTGAAATTCAGTGTGGGCTGGGAGAAAATGGGAAATGCAAAGTGGGTGGCAGGGGGCAGTAGAGGTGTATAGAATCAATTCTTTACAGCTTAAAAAGCGATGGGAGGGGAGAGTGGCGAGCAAGGACAGATAACAGCGGAATTTGGAAAGGAGGAGGCCAGCATTGCATCGGCCTTCAGGGCAGAGGTGGATTTTGGGCAGTGTGACCAGTTCCACCACACTGGGCGCTGCAACTATGACGTAGTGAATTCAGCAGAATGGAAGATGAGAGGCATAGGGGGTGCTCAATTTTGGAGTTTCTGAAATCTGAAAGGCCAAAGTCCGCCTCTGTTTAGGGTAAGGCATATAAGAGAAGAGGTATATATGTAAGAGGTATATAAGAGAAGGTATATAAGGGACGCGGGTGGCACTGTGGTATAAACCACAGAGCCTAGGGCTTGCCAATTGGAAGGTCAGCGGTTCAAATCCCCGTGATGGGGTGAGCTCCCGTTGTTCGGTCCCAGCTCCTGCCAACCTAGCAGTTCAAAAGCAAGTCAAAGTGCAAGTAGATAAATAGGTACCACTCCAGCGGGAAGGTAAGCGGCATTTCCATGTGCTGCTCTGGTTCGCCAGAAGCGGCTTAGTCATGCTGGCCACATGACCTGGAAGCTGTCTGCGGACAAACGCCGGCTCCCTCGGCCTATAGAGCGAGATGAGCACGCAACCCCAGAGTCGTCCGCAACTGGACCTAATGGTCAGGCGTACCTTTACCTTTATATAAGAGACGAAAGGAGTTCTGAAAAAAAAAAATGGCACAGTGGTGGGGGAAGGGAGTTGTGTTAGGATGAGGGCTGATTGCTGGAAGAAGAGATTGTGAAGCGTGCCTGCATTCAGGGCACATGAGAACATGAAAGGGAGCAAAAGGAGTTAGCAAGTGCTTTGATAACCATCTCGAGTAGGTATAATACTCCGGGGCAGGGGGTGGGGAGAAAGGTAATAAGTGTCAGGGAGTAAGACTGGGCACCAAGGGAAATAATAATAATAATAATAATAATAATAATAATAATAATAATAATTTATTTATCTTAAAAAGCAGAGACATCACCTTGCCAACAAAGGTCCGTATAGTTAAAGCTATGGTTTTCCAAATAGTGATGTATGGAAGTGAGAGCTGGACCATAAAGAAGGCTGATCGCCGAAGAATTGATGCTTTTGAATTATGGTGTTGGAGGACTCTTGAGAATCCTATGGACTGCAAGAAGATCAAACCTATCCATTCTGAAGGAAATCAGCCCTGAGTGCTCACTGGAAGGACAGATCCTGAAGCTGAGGCTCCAATACTTTGGCCACCTCATGAGAAGAGAAGACTCCCTGGAAAAGACCCTGATGTTGGGAAAGATAGAGGGCACAAGGAGAAGTGGACGACAGAGGACGAGATGGTTGGACAGCGTTCTCGAAGCTACCAGCATGAGTTTGACCAAACTGTGGGAGGCAGTGGTAGACAGGAGTGCCTGGCGTGCTCTGGTCCATGAGGTCACGAAGAGTCGGACACGACGAAACGACTACAATTATTTATACCCTGCCCATTTGGCTGGGTTTCCCCAGCCACTCTGGGCGGCTTCCAACAGAATATTAAAATACAATAGTCTGTCAAACATTAAAAGCTTCCCTAAACAGGGCTGACTTCAGATGTCTTCTAAAAGTCTGGTAGTTGTTTTTCTCTTTGACATCTGGTGGGAGGGTGTTCCACAGGGTGGGTGCCACTACCGAGAAGGCCCTCTGCCTGGTTCCCTGTAACTTGGCTTCTCACAGCGAGGGACCCGCCAGAAGACCCTCGGTGCTGGACCTCAGTGTCTGGGCAGAACGATGGGGGTGGAGAAGCTCCTTCAGATATACTGGACCGAGGCCGTTTAGGGCTTTAAAGGTCAGCACCAACACTTTGAATTGTGTTTGGAAAAGAGGTCAAGTTAGAGCTGTAGGGTTCATAAGGTGCACTGCAGCCAATCATCTGGGACATGTGGGCCTTCTTGTTGGCTGTGTCTTTCATTAATAGGTAGTGAAGGGTCAACTCGCCAGGATCTGGGGCTGTGAGCTCCCATTCTGCCACACTCTTTGTGCCTTTCCAGTGCAGAATCCCAGGTGGCCAGAATGGGTATTTGGTACCACTGGCTGATGGTGTGCTAACAAAGCTGAGCTAGTCCCCGGAGAAGCTCGGCAGCAAAGCTTTGCATGCAGAAGGTCGCAGGTTCAATCCCTGAGAACCCCAGCTAGGGCTGGGAAGAAACCCTCTTTGAACCCCTGGAAGGTTGCTGCCATTCAACGCCAACAATGTGTAGCTCAGTGGTCCGACTCACTAAAGGCAGCTTTCCATGCTCCTCTATCACCAAGTTAAAGTTAGTAAAAGACTATTTATATAAAAGACACTGAACAAAAGCCACTTGGGTAGAATTCCTAGCTTGCAGATGTACTCTGCTATGCAGCTGTTTGTTTTATTTTTAATCTTTCCTTATATCAACTCAAAAATAAACAAAGTTCAGATTGGTTTTCCATTCACAAAACAAGCTTTGGATGGGTTGGGATATGTTTACTCTGAAAGTACAAGGAACAACTTTATGACAGTTTCTTTGGGGGGGGGAAGGCAAAATGAAATATTTGTCATCATTGCAACTACAGTCTCAGCTACAGTTCCCATGTTTTTTAATAGTTTTGTTTGTTTTGTTTGTTTTAAAAAAAATCAATTCCACAAACTGGCTTCTTGCCCTGGGAACCAGACTGGCAGGAGTAAATTAAACTCACGTATTCTTTCTTATCAAGCAGGAGAATGAGGAGTAGGGGATTTGGGGGGGGGGGGCGTAATTTGTTCTTTCTTGGTTACAACTAAGCGTCTTAGCTGTACCCATATAGGAACAGCAGGAAGATAATATTCAAATCCAGCCCTTTTCGAATAAATGGCAGAGCTTTATCTTGTTTGAAAATAAAAACAACATCAATAATAACAGCCCCCATGAAATATGCTAGTTGTATCTGGAATAGCAGACAATTATTTTCCTCCCCCCCCCCCTTTTAATGAAATTTTTTCTAGGTAAAGATATAAAAAAGAGGAATAATAATATGCTTTCCTTTAACTTATGATAGAATGTGCTATCTTCACACACTGTTTGCTCCCTTATTTAAGCTTGCATTGCTTTGTATTTATTATGCATACAGACGTGGGGGGGGGGGAGCAAGGCCAATATCTGATGCCCCCCAGCCCTTGCTCTGCCTTCCCAAAGCTGGAGAAGAGGGAACCTGGGCTTTGGGAAGGAGGCACGAAGCTCTGCAGGGTCCTAGAGCCCTCCCACCTCCTTCCCAAAGCTTGGAAAGCACTAACTAGGCTTTGGGAAGGAGACGGGACGACTCTAGGACCTGTCAAAGCCTCACGGCTTGGGAAGGCAGCGCAAGGGCTTGAGGGGGCCATCAAATGTTGCCCGGGGCCACCAAGAAAAGGCCTTGCGGGCGGAATGTAGCCCTCAGGGTGTTGGATCACCTTGATAATACAACATGTTTCTTAGGCATGTAGACTGATGGATTTATGGGAAAGTAGGGACGTGGGTGGCGCTGTGGTCTAAACCGATCAGAAGGTCGGCAGTTCAAATCCCCGCAACAGGGTGAGCTCCCGTTGCTCGGTCCCAGCTCCTGCCAACCTAGCAGTTTGAAAGCACAAGTAGATAAATAAGTACCACTGTGGCAGGAAGGTAAACGGCATTTCTGTGCGCTGCTCTGGTTTCAACAGAAGCAGCTTAGTCATGCTGGCCACATGACCCAGAAAAACTGTCTGTGGACAAATGTCGGCTCCCTTGGCCAGTAAAGTGACATGAGCGCCACAACCCCAGAGTCATTCGCGACTGGACTTAACTGTCAGGGGTCCTTTACCTTTACCTTTTTAGGCTTCTATAACATGTTGGCATGCAAAGGATAATGCCCCCTTTTTCCTTCTCTCTTTTCTTTCCTGTGTTATAAATTACATTTTTCAAACTTTTAAACTTTTATTTAGCAGTTGGGAATTTTGCAACGAACCAAACAGTTAATAATAACATGCTTTTTAAAAAAGTTTTCTTTTTTTGTTTAATAAAAATGATTTTTTTAAAAAGGAAAAGAAATCCAGTCCGTTTTATGTTCCCATATTCTGCTGGTACATACCGATAAATTCAGGGCAACAGCATCCCATTTGGATCGGGACCCTGAGGCTGAGGAAATGATGCATAAACGCCGCAGCTAGCTATTTTCCCACTGAAAATCACTCCACAAAGCTGCCGTTTGCCCATTGGGGGGAACTGTTAACCACTGCTATGCTGCCACAATTGCTAAAATTTAGAAACGAGCGACCACCTAGTTTGACCTTGGATTAAAACAACAGGGATTCCCGTACAGGGATGATGGTCAGATCATTCTATCCATAGAACTCAAAAAAAAAAGGACTGAGGGACTCTCTTTCCAGTTTGAAGCAACATCACTGTGAAATTGCTTTACATGCTCCACTAGACTAGTTGGAAAGAATTAGCTGCAGAACACTAAGAACAGGCAAAGAGGATGGATTACTAGCAGGAGGGGATAAGAACTCTTTTGAGCTGTCTCTCTCTCTCGCTCTCTGGCTTGGCAGAATTTGCTGCTAAATGCTTCACTTATCTCCATGGCATATTTGGGAAACTTAGCAGGAATTTAGCCTCCATGGCCAGTCTCTCTGACACAAGTCACTAGTGCTCGTGGGGCAGCCCTGCAGTAGCTTACATACATTCTTTGGTCTCTCCCTCCAACCTTACCATGACTTTTGGATGCTGCATATGATCTAAGATGAAGAATAACACAAATGGCTCCTTTGGCGGAGACTTCAACACCAGGCTGCAAATGCTATATCCCCTGACTTGGGAGTTAAGCCCTGTTGAGCCTAATGGGACTTCTGAGTAGACCTATATAAAATTGCACTGCTAATGTAGTTTGTGGAGTCCCAAAAGGCTGGAGCTGGAACATACTTTACCTTACCCCAGCAGATAATCAGCTTCCTCAGAGATGTCACTAGGAATTTATTTATGTATTTGTAGTTTATTTATTTTAACAATTTATGTACTGCTTAAGGGATGCGGGTGGCAGTGTGGGTTAAACCACAGAGCCTAGGACTTGCCGATCAGAAGGTCGGCGGTTCGAATCCCCGCGACAGGGTGAGCTCCTCTTGCTCGGTCCCTGCTCCTGCCAACCTAGCAGTTCAAAAGCATGTCAAAGTGCAAGTAGATAAATAGGTACCACTCCAGCGGGAAGGTAAACGGCGTTTCTGTGTGCTGCTCTGGTTTGCCAGAAGCGGCTTAGTCATGCTGGCCACATGACCTGGAATTTTACGCCGGCTCCCTCAGCCAATAAAGCGAGATAAGCGCTGCAACCCCAGAGTCAGCCATGACTGGACCTAATGGTCAGGGGTCCCTTTACCTTTACCTTACATATGCTGCTTAGTATGTAAGCCTGAATCATCCATACCCACCGCGCAGGTGTAGACTCCCTTTGTCTGGAGTTGTGTCCTTACCCGTTGCCGCTTATCCATGGGTAGGTTGGAGGGTCCCAGGGTTTGGATGGATCTGACGATCTCCTTCAGCTGAGGATCAGTGAAGTTCTGCCAGATGTTGCCGAAGCTCTCCTTTGCTTTCTTCCCCCAAACCTCTGTGAATTCTTGCTCCTTCAAAGAGGCTGCTACCTGCAAAGGGGTGGTGGTGGAATACATAGATACAGGTAAGCACACAGTTTCTGGGTACCTTCAACGGTCCATCTTGGTTGGTCCCAGACAGACGGGCAGCCACCAAAACCTTGGCACTAGCGCTGTGCTGAAATCTGCCCTGCAGTTTCTGAAAGGTCTTGCAAAGCAGCCATTTCCTTTTTGGGGGTTGTTTTGGTCTCATCCTCAATACGTTTTAGAATTTCTTCAGACTTCTGATAGAAGCGAGGTTTTGAGTGTATCTTATTATTGCAAGAAGGTCAAGCATGGCAGGTGCATTTTTCCTTTGCTGCTTCCCTGGCTGCCCAGTCGTTCTCATCTGAAAACGCCACACAGGAAGGAGCGACCTCATGAAGTATGTGCACCTGGGAGGGCTGCAGGGTGCAGACCAATGGCGAGCTGATTTGTAGGATGGGCGAAAGGGTGCTTCAGAGCACCCCTCTGCCACCCCAAAAGTAAAGTAAGTGCAACAAAAACCCTGCACCTGGCTCATGAGAATTTCACTAAAATTTTCTCCTTCTGATAAATTTTAATTGCAATTTATTGTCTCATTAAATAAGTGTGTGTATCCAGCACACCACTGCCTGCCATTGCTGCATTTTTCAGCCCTTAAAAATCAGGAAAGGAGATTGTGGTAGCTCCATTGTGCTCTCTCCTCAAGATAGCAAAAGCACAGTGACGGAATCATAGAACTGTATGAGTTGGAAGGGACCCTGAGGATCATCTAGTCCAACCCCCTGCAACGCAGGAATATGCAGGTGTCCCATGCAGGGATTCGAACCTGCAACCTTGGTGTTATCAGCACCACACTGTAACCAACTGAGCTAAATGATTAGTTTTGGCTGGCTTTGAAGCACCTATGGGCGCTGGCAGAGGAGCTGGGGAATTTCATCCTCTCCGTGATTATTGCAGTTTCAGGTTTAAACCAACAGCACACTTTTTAGACATGACTCTTCCACTTTATTTATTTATTATCAACATTATGTTTTCAAATTTTGCAAGAAGGCCTTTCCATCCAACAATAATCAACAATTTACAATGTAATAAGTAAAAGCTTTCTCACATTTAACAGAGACTGAACCATTCTGTCAGTATCTTTACTGAAATTTTGAAATATAACAGCAAAACGGTTGATTGTTATTTTTATTTTCTATAATAGGGGATGAATCCGTTATCACCGAAATCCTTCCTTCTTTTCCCCTGTAATACTTTTAAATATACATTTTTAAGAAGCCAAAAAGAGAGCAGTAGCAGCACAATCTGCTAGATACAGTTCTCATCACAGATCAAGGAGTTAGGGAGTAGTAAAATCAGAAGTGCCCCCACTTCCCCAGGGACTGCCCAGAATAACCCAAAACCTACAGATGGAGGAAACCCTTATCATAATGAAACTGGAAAGAAGCCGATCAGATCAAAACAGGTGGCGTGGGTGAATTGTACAGATGCAAACACATTTTAAAAAAAATATTGTACACTCGGTTCTAAATGCACCTTTCACTGAATATATGTATGAGACAAGGTAGAAATATGGATGGCTTCCCACTCCCCACCCCCACCCCCTGAAATGAATAAATGAGGGCTCTATTTATAGTAGTGGTACCTCAGGTTACAGACGGTTCAGGTTACAGACTCCGCTAACTGAGAAATAGTACCTCGGGTTAAGAACTTTACCTCAGGATGAGAACAGAAATCGTGCTCCAGCAGTGTGGCAGCAGCAGGAGGCCCCATTAGCTAAAGTGGTGCTTCAGGTTAAGAACAGTTTCAGGTTAAGAACGGACCTCCAGAACAAATTAAGTACGTAACCAGAGGTACCACTGTACAGGGGAACTCTTTAGGTGTTTGGTAGCAGGGTGGTCTAGGACAGAGCCCTGGGTCAAAGTGATAATCCAAAAGGCTTACTACCATTGTAGCTTCCTAGTTGATTCCACACTAGTGATTTAGTCTGCAACCACTTGCTTGTTATGCGGAATCTAGGCAATGTTACGGCCAACCTGCTGCATTTAAATTGCTGTGGCTGCTGTTGTCCTCCCATCATTTTCAGGCCTATGGTGATGATTTCTACCTGCCCCCCCCCGGCCAATGCAACTGTGGCACCAGCTTGTATTGGAGTTTATATATATATATATTTTAGGGCTTCTGTGTCTCAATCAGAAACTTTCACTTTGTAGCTTCTGTCTCTAATTGCTTCCTGTTCAGGACGGCGTTGCATTAGTGCCATTGACCATTAACTGGTTAGTTCCTGTTCCCTGCAAGAGAGTGGCTTGATTTACTGAGGTTTTCCTTTTCCTTTATTAAAGTGTGAAATGTCAGTATTTCGCCATGAAATAAAAAAAGGAAAAAAAACAATGGGAGGGAAAGACTGTTTGAAGCTCTCCATCCCCACCCCAAGGAATGAGATCTTACTAATTAAAGGGCAGCTCATCACTAATGCCATGCCACTTTAACAGGAAGCAATTGGAGGCAAAAGCTGCAAGGAAGAAGTGTGCAAAGTTGCAGGGTGCTGCTGAATGCTATTTGCTTTTGACTAGGGATGGTGTAGAAATTTGCTTCAACCTGCATTTAAAGATGAATTGCATTTTCCAAAACAGGAAGAGAAAACAAACCACAGCCGTCCTTTCAAATCTCCAGTCAAGTAACGTGTACAAAAAGGCATATACAGTGGTACCTCAGGTTAAGTACTTAATTCGTTCCAGAGGTCTGTTCTTAACCTGAAACTGTTCTTAACCTGAAGCACCACTTTAGCTAATAGGGCCTCCTGCTGCTGCCGCACCGCCGGAGCACAATTTCTGTTCTTATCCTGAAGCAAAGTTCTTAACCTGAAGCACTATTTCTGGGTTAGCAGAGTCTGTAACCTGAAGCGTATGTAACCTGAAGCATATGTAACCTTAAGCGTATGTAACCCGAGGTACCACTGTATTAGTGAAAATGACATACAACAACCCATTATATTAAGGAAAAATGGTCTGCAGAAATATGTATATTAAGCAAAATTACATAAAAAAAATGTAAATTTGGAGAGATTTGCAATAAAATGTGGATGAATTTTCATGAGATTTTGTTTGTTTGAATGGCAAACTAATGTGGAAATGTGAACTTAAGGCTGGAACAATGAAAAATAGAGAGAACCCAGAACTGACAATTTCACCCATCCCTACTTCTGAGTAAACAGGATAAAAGGATCGCCCTTTTAAATTCCACTTCTAGCTGATGACAGAAAAGGAATCCAATCGGCTGTAACCTCTGTGTTTTGATACCTCAAGGATATGAAAGAATAGGTCCTCAAAATGTAACAAGAAGTCCACAAGTGTAAGAGTTCCCAACCTCATACAAAAACTGCATGCTAGAGTAAACTGAAGTCCAGGAAAAATATGCTACCAAATCAGAAGGTGGTGGATGGATGCTAACTTTGTTACCAGGAAATGTGCTTCCTTGCAGATTAGGAGGCAATTTCCAAAAATAACATGCCACTTCGTAGGGAAAACAAACTCCCAATGTAGCAGGTAATTAAGAGTTACGAAACAACAAACAGAAAGCCTGAACAGAAATATGGGCAAACCGTGCCAAAAATAAATAGAAAGGAAATCCTGTGTACCAAGCCTATTTGCATGCAGAAATCCATCAGTTACAGTACATCATTTTTTGCTTAAGATAAGAGTGTCCCCTCCTCCACCAGAGCTTTGAAAGGCTAGGGTGACAGAACTGAAGGATTCCAAGAAAATAGGGATTTGTGGCAGAGCTGCAGTCTTCAACCACACTAATTACTGAGCCTTTGACCACATTTCCATCTATTTATTTGTTCCATCGCATTTCTAACCTGCCCTTTTGCCATAAGGTCCCAGGGTGTGTTACACAAAATAAAAATAACACAATATTAAAATCTACTTTGGCCACCTCATGAGAAGAGAAGACTCCCTGGAACAGACCCTGATGTTGGGAAAGATGGAGGGCACAAGAAGAAGGGGACGACAGAGGACGAGATGGTTGGACAGTGTTCTCGAAGCTACCAGCATGAGTTTGACCAAACTGCAGGAGGCAGTGGAAGACCGGAGTGCCTGGCGTGCTCTGGTCCATGGGGTGACGAAGAGTCGGACACGACTAAATGACTAAACAACAACAACAAAATCAGCTGGGGGTGGAATTAACAGCCATATTTCAGCAGCTTGCTTCATAAACCTAAACAATCCTGTTGTCAACTCACCGTCTTGCCCAGCCAGACCTCCACCCCTGAAAATTTTTTATTCCCAGCCAAAGCCAGCCAACAGTCCATACAGCACACATTACAGTGCTACCTCGGGTTACATAAGCTTCAGGTTACATACGCTTCAGGTTACAGACTCCGCTAACCCAGAAATACTGCTTCAGGTTAAGAACTTTGCTTCAGGATGAGAACAGAAATTGTGCTCCGGCGGCGCGGCAGCAGCAGCAGCAGCAGCAGGAGGCCCCATTAGCTAAAGCGATGCTTCAGGTTAAGAACAGTTTCAGGTTAAGTACGGACCTCCGGAACAAATTAAGTACTTAACCCGAGGTACCACTGGTATCTGGGCCGTGTAGCTGTGCCTTAAAAATATATTTATTTTTTGGGTGCTAGGACACAAATGGTCCAAGATAATCTGGATTAGGACCCTAGTTTTGAGGGTAGAGGGCTTTAGCCCTTTGCTCCTGGTTGCGGCCTTTATCAAGATTGTGCCTGCAACTGTATTCCCCCTCAACAGTCCCAAGTCCTCTCATGTTGTTTGCGTATCGCAAAAACAGCACAATAAAATGTCAGTAATATCTACAACATATGGTTCATCATCAGTGGCCAACACAGAAGTTTTTGGTTCATGAATTGGTTTAAACAAAAAAACAACAAAACAAAGGGGAAGCAGGATAGAACAGAGTTAACAAATAACATTCAACATCGCATAGCTGAATGCCTGATCAGGAGCACTTATGGTTGTGCTTAGGTTAAGTATGAGTAATAGTCATTTTTCCTATTAGGTTACCAATGAAGCAATATAAAGTGTTGTTCTACTCACAAACACAGGAAGTGGGTTCAAGGTGAAGATAAATTAATCTTCACTTTGAACCCACTTCCTGTGTTCATTAGTAGAACAACACTATATATATGTTTGAATATAAATGTAGATCAACCATGTTGAGCCAAACACTGATGCGTGGATTGTTCATTTCCTGAAGTACTGGCATATGTTGTGAAATTAACCCACACATAGATCTATCTATGTGTCAACCATATCTTATTTGCTATTCTCTCAAGGTCGGCGGTTTCCCAGACTGGCCTATCTTTGTGCCAGAAAGGTCTTCCCGATGTCTGGTTGTGTTGCATCTCACCTCTTATAATAAATGGTTTATTAATTCTTTATTTGATTGATGGCATTTTACCATTGTACTGTTGAGAGTGTATTAACTTATGGTTTGTGTGTGTGGTTTGGGAGCTGCACAGTCAAGGAAAAAACAATGCTGTCCAGGGTTGTAAAGACTGCGGAGAGAATAACTGGGTGCACTCTTCCCACCTTGGATCAAATCTATGCTTCCAGGTGCCATAAGAAAGCTGCACATATAGCGCAGGATAGTGCGCACCCCAGAAATGATCTCTTTCAGCTTCTGCCTTCTGGAAGAAGGTACAGGGTTATAAAGACTAGGACTAGCCGCCTGAGAAACAGTTTCTACCCAAATGGGACTTTGGTTTTAAACGCAGTATAAGGAGTCTCTATGGGAGTACATTGTATTTAAAAATGGGGTATCAGAGTTTTTAGGGGGCTAACCAGGTTGGGATAGCTGGGATAGCAGGCTTGTTGGTTTTTGAATGTCTGATGTAGATTTTTCAAGTTTCGTTGTTCTGTATGGGACAATGACAATAAAGATAATCGTATCGTATTAATCCAGACTGTTGTCTTGAAATATATTTAATAAAGCCAATCTCAGTTGCCTTTATTATCTGTAGAGTTACTTTGCCTGCAACCATCTGATGGGCTAGAAATATAGACTTCACAATGGCGATGCCTAATCTTATACCTCATTAGCCTTTATTTACAGCTTCCCCACCAATCTCTGACAGGGCCACCTTGCCTTATTTTAATCCCCAATGGGAGCACTGGTACAGCATGATGCCATCAGCTCGCTCTGTAGTTAGTATAAAACTGGCTACACTGCCTCAAAACAGTCTAAATCCCCAATCAGTGTAAACTGTCTTCAGTGCCTGAGAGCAAAATAAATAAAACATGATCACAGTCACAAACTGTAGCCACTTAAAGTGAGGAGAGAAATCTGGATTCATAAATAGGTGATCTAGAGTTGACTGGCAGGGCTGGAAAGGTCTTGGGGGGCGGCACCAGATGTGACCAGTTCATCCACCCCACAGATTTGCTTACTGGCAATCCACACCACAATTCACCATAAGCAGAGAGCATGAACCCAACAGAAAGCAGATTGCAGACCAAATAGCTTCAGATGGCTCCATAAAATGACTCAAGCCACGTCCTGCAATTGGAAGTCAAGACTAGGGCTCACCTACACTTCCGCTTGACCCATGCCTAGAAAGCGTGGGTCCAAGCAGTTTGCGTTTGACTCATGCTTTCTAGGCCCAGGTCCAAGTGGTTTTCCCCTTGCTCTGCTCCTTTCCTAGGGAAAACCCGCTCTTTAGCTCTGAATTGGTATTAATAATTGTATTATAAATTGGTATTGTTATAATTAGGCTATTATTGGACTGTACAGTCGTACCTTGGAAGCCGAATGCCTTGGTTCTCGAACAAATCGGCTCCTGAACGACTGAAACCTAGAAGTGAGTGTTCTGGTTTTCGAATGATTTTCAGAAGCCGAATGTCCAGCGCGGCTTCCAATTAGCTGCAGGACGCTCCTGCAGCCAATCAGAAGCCACGCTTTGGTTTTCAAACGGTCCCAGGAGTCGAACAGACACCCAAAACGCATTCTGTTCAAAAACCAAGGTACCACTGTAATTGAAAACTAATAAAAAATATTATAAAAAATAGGAAAAGATGAAACAAATATGAAGCAAATATCATCATTTATATACATCAAAAATCATCAGGAAATTTTTGAACTTGAAATTATTGCTCTAACAGACAACGTGCTTTCTTTTAAAAGAAATTTTATCTTTGAGTTTAACATCTGCATTAAGGGTGACCAAATAGAGCAAGTCTCTTATTGTGTCTGAAGATAACATTTAGAAAGATATCTATTGGAAGAGTTTCAGAATTTAAAAAAGAGTTAATTATAGCATTCTGGACTTGGACCACAGTTAAAGTGCAACTTCTGCATAAATAAGAGTTGATGAAGGACTAAGAGAGGAAACTGTCTTCAAAAAAAATTCTGTAGAGATTCCAAATTCATAATTTGCAAATCATCCCAGCCCATTTTCCTGCCCTAAACAAAACCTGAATCATTTATTTTGCTTCCATCTATATTTTTTCCATTAAGTTCCCTTAAAGGCTGGAAGTGATATACTGAAATTTTCATTACTTCCCCAAATTTGCATAACAGTTATAAATTGGTTATACAAAATGATTCTACTAAAAATCACATCAATTTTAGTGCAAACATACCACCCCCCAAAAAATGACATCGTGTGTAACTTGCTAAGTTTAAAGTAAGGTAATCTACATTTCAAGGTGTGTGCGTTAACTGCATCCTGTATTTTGTTATTCCAGAATAAAATGAACAAAATTATTATTCTGTTGCCTGCCTTCTCTGACCCTTATTATATTAGTTTGTTTAACCATATTAGCTATGATTAACCTAAGGGTACCAGATTTTTTTCAATGAATCTGGGGACACTTTTCAACTTCAATAGATTTTGTATGGGGACTGATATGTAAATCCGGGAAACGGGGACATCTGGTAACCTTAGATTAACCATCACAATGTGAATTCCCCGTCCCCTTTTTTTAACCAACCATCATTTATTGATTTTTTTGCTGTACTGTCATGAAAGTATGGCTTAGAAATATTTACCATAAATAAATTAGCATTCCATTTCTTTGTCTCTCCAAGAGTCTTGTGATAGCGAGGAAACTTGCTTTTTCTACTCTTGACATGTAACTATCTGGGGTTCTGCCAATAGGCAGTTATCTATATTAGTGTTACCCAACTTGCAACATAAGTGATTTCTCTCAGCTGAATCACATGCCATAGCTAAAGTTCACAAAAGCCACATAAAGATGTTTATTGGGGCCCTTAGTACTTTGTTGAGCAAGATGGTGGAAGGTCATACAATGGTCAGAAGTATTTTGGCCCTGTCTGACTGCAGCTTGTTTAGTGTATAAAACAGGTGTCCTGCCAGACAGAGGGAGGGGGAAGAGGATGCTATTTAACCTCATCTGTCACAACGCACCTGTTGTTAGTTACTTTCAGGTCTCACTGATTTCAATGAGAAAACATTTTCCCATTGCAGGAATCTGTGCAGCTTTAGCTGAGAGTGCTGTGTCCTGTGTGTAGCACACAAGTGCCACAGATAAAGCTTAGGGTTGGGGTGGGGTGGGGAGGCAAAATATTTATCACATCTGGGGAGGAAACTAGTTCCTGACCTCAAATATGAAACGTCATCTCAAAAATCTGAGGGATCTCTTTCTGCACTACTTCTTGTTGTGCCTGTCTCCAACATCCTGCAAGAAGAGCAAGATAAAAACTGATGCTCAGTCACACACACACACGGTCTTGCCATTGGACTCCACCACACATCCACACTGGCCGTCAGTCTCTGCTGGGGTCCATGACAACCTTTTCATTGACAAATACCCAGGGCTTTTTTTCAGCTGGAACTCTCCGGAACTCAGTTCCGGCACCTCTCAGGTGGGTGCCATTGCTATTATAAGAGAACAAGGCAGGCGTTCTGATGATGAGTTCTGGCACTTCTTTTGCTAGCAAAATAGCACTACTAATACCCCTGGCCCCATCCCAAATCCTTAAGTCTTCTAGCATCTCTCTTCTTTTTAAATAAGGGGTTTCCCCCCTTGTTTTTCGAATAACAAGAAGAATAAACTAAGGAACTCATATAACAACAAATTACAAACACATCCTGGTCAGTGTACCAGCATGTACAAAATCTTGTGATAAACATTTCAAAAATTATTCCAAAAGGTCTTGTCACATTCTTACATATGCCGTGGGAGGATTTCTGTCACATTCTTGTTTTTTTACAAAATTAGTATAAAATAATAAGGGACTAAATTTTTATTTTATTATAAAATAAAAGGGACGCGGGTGGTGCTGTAGTTAAACCACAGAGCCTAGGACTTGCCGATCTGAAGGTCGGCGGTTCGAATCCCCGCGACGGGGTGAGCTCCCGTTGCTCGGTCCCTGCTCCTGCCAACCTAGCAGTTTGAAAGCACGTCAAAGTGCAAGTAGATAAATAGGTACCGCTCCATCAGGAAGGTAAATGGCGTTTCCATGCACTGCTCTGGTTCGCCAGAAGCGGCTTAGTCATGCTGGCCACATGACCTGGAAGCTGTACGCCGGCTCCCTCGGCCAATAAAGCGAGATGAGCACCGCAACCCCAGAGTCGTCCGTTACTGGACCTAATGGTCAGGGGTCTCTTTACCCCTTTACCTTTACCTTTAAGGGACTAGTATTTCCTCTGGCAGTTTTGGGTTGGCATGTCAGTTTCCCAGCTAACGCTATTGACGATACTCTACCGTACCGGGATTCGACATTTAAACCTTCTCCATGTTTCCAACACCTTCCATTCTTGCTTAGCCTCTCTCTTCTTGGCTAGCCCCTTTGCATGCCACCTGGCCTCTCCTAGCTTCCCTGCAACATCAATTCCTTTGCCCTTTGTGTGAGCAGAAAATATCCACAAAAGACATACAGGGAAGGAAAAGTCCACCTCATCTTCTGCCCACTGCACAAAGCAGTCAAAAGGCATGTGTTCACATTACAACTTTAGAGCACAGTGAACACACCGAGGGGTCTTGATGTGCAGGGATGTCTCTTTGCCCTGTACAAAGTTGGCTAGAGAAAAATTAAAGGTAAAGGTAAAGGGACCCCTGACCATTAGGTCCAGTCATGACCAACTCTGGTGTTGCGGCGCTCATCTTGCTTTATTGGCCGAGGGAGCTGGCATACAGCTTCCGCCAGCATGACTAAGCTGCTTCTGGCGAACCAGAGCAGTGCACGGAAACGCCGTTTACCTTCCCGCCTGTTTATCTACTTGCACTTTGATGTGCTTTCAAACTGCTAGGTTGGCAGGAGCAGGGACCAAGCGGCGGGAGCTCATCCTGTCGCGGGGATTCGAACCGCCAACCTTCTGATTGGCTCTGTGGTTTAACTCACAGCGCCACCCACGTCGAAGAGACAAATTAGGAATGGCTTATGGACTGCAGACAGGACGAAGCTGTTTTGAGAAACAACCAAATGCGCATCAAACAGTAGTACCTTATAACAAAGAACAGAATACATATGCACTTTGAATATCATTGTGGGAACGTGGATTAAAAGCCCAGCACTGGAAGTGCAGTCACTGTGCAAGAAACAGCTCTAGACTATCTAGACTTGTTGGAAGGGCATGCCTGGAAAATGTATACGCCACCAGCCCTCACTTCTATTTGTTCTTTGGCAAGCCATGTCACTTTGCTGTCCCGTTAAAACACACAAACACTCTCTTCCTCTGTTAGCTCCTAGATCCTGTATGCAAGCTGGAAACAGTTCGTTCTTCATTGTGAGCGCTAACATTGAAGGAAGTTCCCTTCCTGCGCTTGTACATCAAGAGAGGAGGCTGCAAAGAGTTCAGAAGAGGTAGGCTAGGAGCCAGACATTTGCAGCAATTCTCAGACTGCCACCTCCATGCTGGCAATCAACTGCAACGGCCCACAAAGCAGGCTGCTGCTGCTGTTTAATGTTTAATCTTTTCTGAGGACATCTTTGCTTTTTGCACAGAGTGCACTTTCAAATCTGCATTACCAACCACGAGAACTAAATTTGACTTGTGGGGGCACTCTGGATTAATTAACCTGGAACAGAAGGCTAAGATATCAAAAACAGAAATTTGCTTTTAGTATGTGGCAAAACTTCCTCGTCACTCATGACCTGCTCCCCTTGGACACAGACCTTCCAGCCACAGCTTGGAGAAGAAGAACAGGGTGGAAAATACAGCCCAGTGATGCCATACCATTTGACTTCACACTACATGCCCTTTGCTTGCACCAGCTTGCCTGGCTGGCATGCTCACTTGAGTAAGAACATAGGGCTAAACCTTGCAGACCAAATGTAAGAGCCCTTCTTATTTAGTATCTTGTGTGGGTTAAACTACTGAGCCTAGGGCTTGCTGATCAGAAGGTTGGCGGTTCGAATCCCCGTGACGGGGTGAGCTCCCGTTGCTCGGTCCCTGCTCCTGCCAACCTAGCAGTTCGAAAGCACGTCAAGGTGCAAGTAGATAAATAGGTACCACTCCGGCGGGAAGGTAAACGGCGTTTCCGTGCGCTGCTCTGGTTCGCCAGAAGCGGCTTAGTCATGCTGGCCACATGACCCGGAAGCTGTACCCCAGCTCCCTCAGCTAATAAAGCGAGATGAGCGCCGCAACCCCAGAGTCGGCCACGACCGGACCTAATGGTCAGGGGTCCCTTTACCTTTACCTTTATTCCACAGTGGTCAGACAGATCTGTCTAGGCAGCCCACAAACAGCACACTAGAGAGCATAACAAGAGCCCATCTTGATCTCACCCAACTTGTTCCTTCTACTAGGTGGCCAAGCAGATGCCCACAGGAAGCTCACAAACAGGACACAAGAGCAACAGCTTCCTCCTGCTGTTGTTTTCCAGAAGCTTGTATTTGGAATCAGGGTCCACCCTGAGAAGTAACACCATCCCAGAATCAGGTTCTGCTTTGCAGGGTTGGAAGAAAAGATGGGGTGAATGTGGCCCTTGATTCAAGGGGCCACCATAATCATGATAACTTTAAGGTGTCTATGTTGAAACGGTTGGGATGCAACTCAGCTTGTACCTAATGCTGGTGGGGTTTGCATGGGGAGAAAGGAGATAGAGGGGTGTACCTCCCAGCTCCCTAGACAACCTCACTGCCCTTTGCCAGTGCTGACCTCTCGTTTGATCCTAGACTGGTGTTTTTAGGGTTGCTGCCCTAACTTGCTTCCCTGCTCGTACTTCTGAAGTCAAGAAAGAGGAGGATATCTTCTTGTGCCTCTCTCATAAGAACATAAGACCAGCCTGCTGGATGAGCCCAAAGACCACAGCATTTTGTTCTCACGGTGGCCAACAAGATGCCTGTGGGAAACCAAGAGCACTTTCCCTTTGTGTGGTTTCTAGCAACTGGTTTTCATTTCTGAAGCATACTACCTTCGACTGCGGACGCACGGCATAGCTGCCAAAGCTAGCACCAACTGATAGCCAGTGTGGTGTAGTGGTTAAGAGCGGTAGACTCATAATCTGGTGAACCGGGTTCGATTCCCTGCTCCTCCACATGGAGCTGCTGGGTGACCTTGGGCTAGTCACACTTCTCTGAAGTCTCTCAGCCCCACTCACCTCACAGAGTGTTTGTTGTGGGGGAGGAAGGGAAAGGAGATTGTTAGCCGCTTTGAGACTCCTTAGGGTAGTGATAAAGTGGGATATCAAATCCAAACTCTTCTTCTTCCTCCATGAATTCCTCCAGTTCTCTTTCAAACCTGCTCAGGTTGGTGGCAATCATTGCCTCCCGTGGGAGTTGAGCTGAACTGTGTGCTGTGTGAAGGAACACTTTCTCCTGCAGAGGTCAAAGGGCAAGCACGGCTCCTCTGCATTTCCAACTTAGTTAGAACAGGAAGTCTTCATCATCCAATTATGTATTACTTATAATAAACTTTCTTATCTTTCAGTCTTAAAGTCTGAGTGTGGTTGCTTTGAATTAAGGCAACAACTATTTGATATGCAGCCAGCTTTTCTTTTTTTATAAACTGCTCTGAGGTCTTTAGTTTTTTCTTTTTTCCTTACAATCAAGCAGTATATAAATTTTATAATACAAATAAAAGATGTGCTAACTCTGCAAAGTAATTCAACATCGTACACACATACGTTAACAAAAATAGCATTTGTTTCTTTTAATAATGTGTTAGTCGAAATCATTGGTAATGGGCAGTACTAAATATTATTGTGGTTGGGGGTGAGGTGTCGCTGCAAGAAAAATAATAATGTGTACCACTCAAGTTAGTGGCAGCTGTGTAAACATTATGGTAGCATTCTGTGAATGGAGCTTCAGCAAGGGAGAATTAATTAAAACCTACCTGAGATCAAAGGGATGTGGGTGGTGCTGTGGGTTAAGCCACAGAGCCTAGGGCTTGCCGATCAGAAGGTCGGCAGTTTGAATCCCCGCAACAGGGTGAGCTCCCGTTGCTTGGTCCCTGCTCCTGCCAACCTAGCCATTCGAAAGCACGAAGTGTAAGTAGATAAATAGGTACCGCTCTGGCGGGAAGGTAAACGGCGTTTCCATGCGCTGCTCTGGTTTGCCAGAAGCGGCTTAGTCATGCTGGCCACATGACCTGGAAGCTGTACGCCAGCTCCCTCAGCCAATAAAGCGAGATGAGCACCGCAACCCCACAGTCAGCCACGACTGGATCTAATGGTCAGGGGTCCCTTTACCTTTACCTGAGATCAAATATGACAATCTTTTCAGTTGAACATGAAATTGCAGAACAAATAAATTTCAGCCAAGTGATCATTTCCCCCCCTGCAATTAAACCTTGGAGGGTTACATCCTAAATAAATCTGTATAATATTGTGATTTTTTTTCATATTCTTTTTAGTGTTCTGTGAGATCTAATAAGCATACATTCCATTTTCCATTTTCTGATTTATTCTAGTAATACTGTCATATATTATTAAATAGTCTACATTACATGGATTTACTTGTTTATCATTTTGTTGCAGCTGCTGTTAATGTTTTATGTTGTAAAATTTGCGGTTGGCTTAGGGACAGAAGAGCTGGTATAATGTAGTTGTTAAAGCAGTGGTGTCCAAACTTTTTCCAAAGAGGGACAGATTTGATGAAGTGAAGGGCCATGAGGGCCAACCAAAGGGCCAGCCAAAGTTGTTGACCTTTTTTTAGGATTGATGTTGTTGAGGGGTTTTTTAGGATTTTACCACAGAAAATAAACTGCCACAGGAGCCAGATTAAACCAACCGGCGAGCTGGATTAGGCCCCTGCGATGGACTTTGGACATGCCTGAGTTAAAGCATCAGACTAGGACCTGGAACACCAAGATTCAAATCTGCACACAAACACACACCCAAACCATGAAGGTCATTGAATGACCTTCGACCAGTCACTCACTCTCAGTCTAACCTACATCACAGGATTGCTGTAAGGATAAAATGGGGAGGAGAATTATGTACACCATCTTGAGCTCCTTGGAGGAAACACTAGATAGAAATGTAATAAATAAATAAGTATTTCATATTGTTTGCTCCAGATGCCAAGATACAAATTATGGCCCTGCTGCCTTGGGTCCTGGAGGAGGCAGTCATAGATAGCCTTATCACCCTTGTCTAACCCCCCTTTTAAAGCCACCTAAAGCTGACAGCCAACACATCTTGTGGCAATGAGTTCCGCAGTTCAGATAGGCAGACTCCTCTTCTTTCTCTTAAATCTCCCACTAAGCAGCTTCACTGGACGGCCCGAAGTTCTAGCATTATGAAAGAGGGAGGAAATCCTATCTCCGTCCATTTTCTCCACACCACGCAGACTTATGGAACCCTCTATATATGCCTGTCCTTAAATCCCCTGCTTCCTAAACGGAAGGAAGTCACCGCTCTTGCAACCATTCTTCACTGGAGAAGTGAACCACAACCAATCATTCTGGTTCCTCGTTTCTGCACCTTTTCCAGCCCTACAATGTGCTTTTTTGAGATGCGGCAGGATGAACAGGGATTGCTGTTGTTTAGTCGTGTCCGACTCTTCGTGGCCCCATGGACCAGAGCACGCCCCAGTTCATGCAGGTTCCATTTAACCACCAGCCCTTATCATCTCCCCTAAGCACCCAAACTTCTATCTAAACATCCTCTCTCTCAACAATATTTTATAGTAATGAATATCACCAATTAGTTCTCAATTAGATAGAGAGGTAAAGGTAAAGGTAAAGGGACCCCTGACCATTAGGTCCAGTCGTGACCGACTCTGGGGTTGCGGCCCTCATCTTGCTTTATTGGCCGAGGGAGCCGGCGTTTGTCCGCAGACAGCTTCTGGGTCATGTGGCCAGCAGCACTAAGCCGCTTCTGGCGAACCAGAGCAGCACACGGAAACGCCGTTCACCTTCCCGCGGGAGCGGTACCTATTTATCTACTTGCACTTTGACGTGCTTTCGAACTGCTAGGTGGGCAGGAGCTGGGACCGAGGGACGGGAGCTCACCCTGTCACGGGGATTTGAACCGCCAACCTTCTGATCGGCATGTCCTAGGCTCTGTGGTTTAACCCACAGCGCCAACTCTTTGTGACCCCATGGACCAGAGCACACCCCAGTTCATGCAGGGTCCATTTAACCACCAGCCCTTATCATCTCCCCTCAGCACCCAAACTTCTATCTAAACTTGTGGGACATCTTCCCCTCTCCACAATATTTTATAGTAATGTATATCACTAATTAGTTCTCCATTGGATAGAGAGGTATTCTAACCAAATTACCTGGCTTACTGGTTTTTACACTCTCCCCCACAATCCCTCACCACCTCATTCCAATGCAGGCTCAGCCCAGGAAGAGAAGAAGCCACAAGAGATCAACGCCTCAGTAGGAGGAATCAAATTCTGCGTGGGACTTCAGGCAGCGAGTGGGGGGAACAATAGCTGCGCACCAAGAACGCACGATACCGTTAAACGGTGCTTGAAGTACAGCCACCCCCTCAAATAATTCTGGGCGCTGTAGTTTGCTAAGCACTGCTGGGAATTGTAACTCTGTGAGGGAGAAACTACAGCGCCCATAATTCTTTGAGGGAAACAAGGAGCTCCGAATGAGCTTTGAAGGTGTAACTGTGTCCACAGGTCTCCATCGCTGCGTTTTCTGACTTCTCAGTTTGGGGGTCATTAAGGAAATCAGCCCTGAGTGCTCACTGGAAGGACAGATCCTGAAGCTGAGGCTACAATACTTTAGCCACCTCATGAGAAGAGAAGACTCCCTGGAAAAGACCCTGATGTTGGGAAAGATGGAGGGCACAAGGAGAAGGGGACGACAGAGGACGAGATGGTTGGACAGTGTTCTCGAAGCTACCAGCATGAGTTTGACCAAACTGCGGGAGGCAGTGGAAGACAGGAGTGCCTGGAATGCTCTGGTCCATGGGGTCACGAAGAGTCAGACATGACTAAACGACTAAACAACAACAACAAGCACCCTCAGGGAAACCTGTCTCAGTTTCTCCGTCTGCAAAATGGAACACCAACAGCATCACAAGGAGGAGAAATAACATACAAAGGCAGGGCATACAAAAATAAATGTTGACTACCACAGCTGATTATCTTTAATGTCATGGCAGTACTCCCAAAAGGTACTGTAGGATATAAAGGCTACCAGAAAAGCCCACTGCAGGGAACGTCTGACTCTATGTTAAAATGAACAAGACGGGGTCAGATCGGATGGCAGCGGGGGGAAACATCAAGACAGGGAAACCCCAGGCTAGTCCAGGCTTTGCTCAAGATCCAGAATTTGCTCCAGGGTCCTGAAGTTAGAAGCAACAGATATTATTCCGTGACAATAATATACTGTAAATTATATTTAATTTACACACAAACACACATATATGTTGGCAGTTTGGCATCAGAGGCAACTGATAAGGAGATAAACTGCTGCGTTCACTGTGGCAGGGTGGAACAGGGATGTCAACTTGAATAAAATATTGGGGGGGGGGGGACGGACAGGTAAGCTCCGCCTGCAGAACTGATCACATGACATGGCGCATGTGTACCATTTGAACGGCAACACCCATCAACTTTGGAGGGGCGACCCCCTCAAATATTTTATGGGGGGGTGACCAAAGGGTCCTCGGCCCCTAGGAGTTGTCCCCTATGGGGCAGAAGGAGAGCTTTAGGCCCAACTGAAGGTGGATATTTTGCCCCATAGGAGCCAACTCCTAAGGGCTGTGGGGGCTTCTGTTCCCCCCACAATAAAACATTTGAGGGGGCTGACCCCCACAAAGTTGATGGGCGTTGCCATTCAAATAGTGTCATGTGGTTGCCTATGCTTACCTGGGGGGCCCCACAATAATTTATTCAAGTTGGCACCCCTGTTTGCCCAGGCTGGCGCTGTGACCTTTCAGCTTGGCTCAAGTGTCAAAGTTACAGAAGGAGGGCCAAAGGAAAGACGCAGAAAAGTGAGAAAGATGCACTTGCTGCTTGCTGCGGCTGAGGCTGGGCAGGGGCTTCGCCTCTCAGGTGTCTGCTTGGGCGGCCGGAGCTTACCTGCTGCTGGGAGTTGAAGTCTGTCAGGTTGGTGTTGTAATTCCAGCTGGCGGAGACGCTCTCGAAGAAGACCGTCTCGCCGGTGCTGTTGTAGTCCTGGGCGAAGTGCACGGCTCCCTCCTCGGTGTGGTTGTATTCTCCGGGCATGAGGGGGTCCTCCAGGGCGAGCGCCCCTCCGCCGCCGCCGCCGAGGAAGAGCAGCAGCAGGAAGGTGGTGACAGGAGGCATCTCGGCGCCAGACGAGGCCGTCCCCGCGAAGAGCGCCGGCTTATAAAGCTGCCGCCGGCTCCCCGGAGACCCTGCCCACGGCCGCGCCTGCCTCGCTCCTCGGAGCAGATAAGCGCCAAGGCTGCCCTCGGGGGCTCGCCGCCGCTGCCCGCTCGCCGCAAGGGCGGCCCCTCGCCTTGCCAAAGTCCGCTCCGGTGCCTCGCCGCCGTCACGGGCAAAACAAACGCGCGCCCAGGAGAAGAGGGCGCGCGAGAGAGAGCGCGAGGCGCGGAGAGCTGGAGGAGAAGCTTGGGCGCCCGTCCTCAGGAATGGCCGGGAGATGGGAAGTCGGTGGGGTGGGGTGGGAGTCCGGAGGAAGAGAAGGGGCTTCAGGGCGGGAAGAGGCGCCTCGAAGAGCCCGCTGCTCTCCGGCCGGAGGAGAGCGGCGGCGAGCCGGACGCAGCTCGCCTGCTCTCCTCAGAGGAGAGCATTCCAGTGGAGGGAGCGAGCGAGAGAGCGCTGCCTTCCTCGCCTCGCCAATTGGCCTCCAAGTCGCCGCCAGCTCTGGGCTCCGGCCTCTCGCCCCCGCTCGGGGTTTCCCTCGCGGCACCGCGAGACCCCGCTCCTGGGGGGCGACGCCAGAGGGCGGGAAACACGCACACCAAAACATCCTGAGGCAAGGCAGGCACCAAAGGAGCAACGGGGGAGAGGCGCTTTCTCCTCAGAAAGCCACAAGGGTCCAGGGACAGGAAGGAGTGAGGTGAGGGACCCTTGCCTCCCCCCTCCGGCACCGCATGGAATCGTCCACTGATTGGGTCAGAGGGGGAAAAGGTGATGTGGGGAACCTGTGTGGCTCTCCAGGTGTTGCCCCAGAATGACTGCCGTCACCAGCACTGGCCATGTTGGCTGGGACCAGGGCTTCTTTTGTGACAGGATCCAGCACCAGCACCTCTTCCCCACCTCCTGCCCATGGCAGCCATTTTGTGGTGGTCCCCATGGCACTTGAGTACCAGGACTTTAAGCGATGGCTGAGGCCAGGGGTGCCAACTTGAATAAGATATTGGAAGAGGAAGGTAAGTCCCACCGCACATAATTGACATGGTGCATGGACACCATTTGAATGGCAGTATCCGTTAACTGGGGGGGGGGTGTGCTCAAATATTTTATGGAGGGGGGAAAGGGACCTCAGCTCCTAGGAGTTGGACTCCTATGACTGAGGCTGAAGAGAATTCTGGTCCAGTAACATCCGGAAGGCCACAGGTTTTCCCATCTTTGCTGGAAGGAAAGCGAAGTGTGGTCACCATGTGTGCACCTAGGTTAGGGGTCTGCAACCCGCGGCTCTGGAGCCGCATGTGGCTCTTTTACACCTTTGCCGCGGCTCCGGGGCGGATACTAGCGAGGGGAGGAGGCGCATTGTGCGCCCCGATACTCCCCACTGTGGCGGGCGCTGTACTGGCTGTGACGTCGCATGGGGGCGGTGCGTGCGTTAGTCACGCACCGTCCCGACGTCACCTTCCCGCCCGCCCGTCCGCCCGCTACATTGTAAGGGGCATGTACGCTGGTCACTGCATTGAAAGGGGGCATGTACGCTGGTCACTGTTTTGAAGGGGAGTGAAGAACACACACACACAAAAAGGTAACTTGTTAATTTAACGTTTATTTCTATGAGGAGGAGTAATTCTGAGGGGTCAAACAAAGAAATAATAATAAAAAAGTGAGAAAAAAGTTATTTTTATAATGACGAGTTTTGCGGCTCCCAGTTTTTTTTTCTTCAGAAACGGGTCCAAGTGGCTCTTTTTGTCTTAAAGGTTGCAGACCCCTGACCTAGGTGTTCAGTCAGTATTGTCGGTGCCTCAGCTACCTGTCTCTCACAATCATTTCCCCTTCACCTTTCCCTTTGGGAGAGCACTTTCCTCCCTCCAGGGTTTCCTCAGAGGCACCATCCCATATTCTAGTCTTACCAATAGGGGCGCCAGGGCGCCCAAGTTCTGGAGGGCACCAGAGAAGAGGCGGAGGCTGGATGTGGTGCCTCCCGGCATCAGCTCGCCACCCTCGCCTGCCTCCACCATGCCGTGCCGCACCCGGAGCCTCCTGCCATGGCCACCTTGGCATGAAGTGCCACGTCCAGTTTCCGCCTCTTCCCCACCAGAGCCACCCTCCAGCCGCTGCCCACCTCCTCCAGCCCCGCCGGCAGCGCCGTCCTCCCTAAAAAACTCTGGAAAATGGGGTGGGGCGCTGGAGGGAGCTTTGCACCACGGCGCCGGATATGCTTAAGACGGCCCTGTCAAGTACCTTTGAAAAGCCCTCCTGGATCAAGCAAAGAACCATCTCGTCTAGCATTCTGTTCTGACTGTGGCCAACCAGATGAAGATGATAATTTTATTATTTGTACCCCACCCATCTGACTGGGTTGCCACAGCCGCTCTAGGTGGCTCCCAACAAAATATTGAAAACACAACAAAACATCCAATGCCCCCAAGAAGCTCACAATCAGGACAAGAACATAACGACCCTCTCCTGCTTATGTTCCCCAGTGACTGGAAGCAACTGCTTCTAATGCTGTAGGTGATATAGCCATCTTCAGTAGTAGTCACTGAGAACCTCACCTTTGCAAGCCGTCCAAAGATGGTTTTGGGTGGCTTTGTTCAAACACACTTCCCAAAAGGTGCCTGGTGTGCATAACAGGTACATCAACTGGGGCCCCACAATGTGGGTGCCCAGTTACATGCGTGTCACACCACACTTGCCATGATATCACTGCAACACGATGTTATGAGGTCACGGCAGCACACCATGACACGCGACACGCTTGTATGCTCCGGTGCTGTGGTGGCGGCTGGGCTGGGCTAGGGCCTGCACCTCTGCTGTTGGGGCCTCTGTTGAAGTACATCCATGGCTGCAGCAGGCCTCAACAGAGGCCCCACGGTGGAGGCACAGGCTCCGGCCCAGTTGCCACTGCGGTGTCAGAGCACCAGAGGTAAGGCAGTAGCCACCACCAGCTTGCAGAGCACGGTGGGCAGTGCATGGCTTTTTTTCAGCCGGAACTCACCAAAATTCAGTTCTGGCACCTCTCATTGCTATTGTATTGTAGAGAACAAGGAAGATGTTCATTGGAGCTCCAACAACTCTTTTTTCGAGAAAAATAGCACTGGCTAAACTGGCTTAAAAGGAAATGAGAGAGGGGAACCAGGTGCCAAAAGAGAAAGAAAAAATTAATGTCTTGCCAAGGATGTCAGACCATGAAAATGGGAAAAGATGAGTGTCCATTGTGAAGCATGAAGCTTGTTGAGAAGCTCTCTACCTGTGAAGTACCAACTATGCACCTGTTGGCCAACTGAGGCTACTGAGGCCAACTCCAGGGGGCCCTGGGGGTCCGAGCACACACAAAATTTTTGCTGTGTCTGCCTTGCTTCTGTCACTGCCACCGCTACCCGCTGCCGCCTGCTGCCAGCTGGATGGAGCCAGGTTCTCAGTAAAGGAGACAATAAATCCAGACCATCCTTCAGTCTCAAAGGTGCAACAAGAGGCATTCCCAAGGCTGATTCCTACTTGAAAGGAAGAACCATGGACCAGGAAGGGAGGTGTAGCCAGATTTTGCTGCTAGTACTGAGTAACAGTCTCCATAGATTGGCTCCTAGTCCTACAAACTTCTGGACAGCTCTTCTCCTGCACATAAAACCCTCAGACTGTTGGACAGCTCCCTCGCTTGGCTGGATTATGACACATTTCTGATATTTGGGGACACAAATGCTTCTTAATGCGACAATTGTTCCATTAAATACTATCTCAACTAGGATGAAGCACCCTTCTGGATCTCCTCTGGAGTCTAACACTATGCAGTCTAGGTCTTGATTATTATTGTTGCCATTCTTTTTGTTTTTGTGTTGGGTAAAGCAGTGTACACTTTGCCTTTGAAATCATGGGTTCTAGAACAATGGTTCTCAATGGTTTTTCACCCTGAAAATTAGTGTGGGAGTCTTGGTGGGCCACTTAATAAACTTCAAAGTACACACACAGCCTGTGTTTTAACATCATTATAAAAATTATGGATCCTAGGCCTGTTCAATAATTTCATATGGGTAAAAAATGTCTTAATCTCCATCATATATATATATATATAGAGAGAGAGAGAGAGAGATTGTTCAGGATTGCATACAGATATTCTTGACTGTTCTGCAACCTCTCCATGGACCTCTCAGGAATGGAGTGTGAACAACCAGTGGTCCATACGCACAGTATGAGAACCTCTGTTGCAGAAGATGGATATCCCTTTCCCTAATTGTGTCTCCTGAAAGAAAGGCACTCCTGGTTTTTCCCATTTCAACAGTCTGCCACTTTTTCTTCAAATTATAAAGTCCTTTAAAACTGATTGTGATAAATGCTCTTTTAATGTCCACTTAATCAATCAATAAATTCTGAACCACCATCCCTCACATACAGTTTAGGCGGGTGTCCTTGATGAAAGTGATGAAGAATTCTAAGGGAGGCAGTTGAGTTTAATTCCCTTCTTCTGGCAAGAAGGTATCCCTATGTTCTGGAGAATTAATCAGTCAACTGGAAAACAAGAGAAAATTCAAAGTATAAAATACACCAGTCCCAGCCTCAGTGAAACCAATTATTATTATTTAAATGGCAAGCTAAGAATGATCAATCGTAGCACATCCAAGAGCACTGATAACATTCAGATATTTTACCTCCAGTTCAGTAATGAAGTGTATTGGTCCCGTCAAGAAAGATACTCAAAAGAGTCTCTAAAGATCAATCAGGAAACCATCTCACAAGATGGTTAATAAAAACAAGGATGAAATAACACATGGGAAGCCATTTCAGCCTCTGAGTGGTTGTACCAGCAGCATTTATGTTTAAAGGGAACTCTAGCAAATCTGCTGTCAAAAATCTTTGAAGGTAAGGCATTTAACCGGAGTGAGGAAAATAGCTCTTCTGTATTTGGTTATTGTTTAAAATATTAAATATAGTTTGCAGTTATTGAAAGCAGAACAGGTCAGGGCCAGTGACTGCACATGGCCCACTGACTAGTGCATGTCACTCTTGAACATCTATGTCTCTTGTTCTCAACCACAGATTTGGCCTGCACTAGTTCCAGTGACAGCAGAAAAGAATTAATCCATTGATTCATTCTGCTACATCAGGACAAAATAGTCAACCAGCACCTCATTTGCCAAGAGGAGAAGGGCAGAGGGGAAGATTTGAAGCCATAAAAAAAATGGTTTTTCGAGTTTATTTAATTCACGAAAAAGAACAAACCAAGGAATGCAAGAAATAAAATTTGACAAAAGGAAACACAGTTCTACTGAGTCATACAGACAACTGTAGATAATGGTTAAAAATTCAGGATTATGTAATATTGTTATGAAATTTGCCAAATAACTCCAATTGCTGCTGTTCCATGGCTCTGTAAGTTGTTATTAGAAATATACGTAATAACATTTCATCAGGTAATGTAAAATTTGAAGCCAATAATGAATAGAATATATCTGTGCCAAACTAATGAGCTAAGATGAGCTCATAAATTAAAAGTAGTACCAGAAAGACTGTGTGTGCCCAAAAGAGCTCTAAAAAATGTTCCAAACAAAACCAGTCACAACTATTGCAATGCATACTGAA